GTACCAAATCAAGGAGCCCCAAAGCGACAAAGAGGCCGACCCAAGAAAAGTCAAACAAATACACAAGGATCAATTGAAGTCGTCAAACGAAAAATTCTTAATGGGAACGGGACCCCGGGTAATATTGTGATCACAGAGACCAGAACGTCATCGAATCAAGAATCACCTTCTCAACCTGCGGTCAAGACGCGAGGAATTGATGCTAACCACGATATGTCCCCTACTTTGGCCCACAACTCTCCAATAAAGTAAGACAACCCTCTCATAATTCGTAATCGATATCCTACTAGAATTTGGAGCATTAATCTATTTCCATTTTAATGCATAAAATTGTGAGATGTGTGAATAATTATAAGAAAAGTGTGATAGAGGAGATTTTTCGGATTTGATAAAGCTCCAAATTCCATAAAAGAAAACACTCACAGCTTTGGATCCTCTTCATTTCGAATCATACACTTCCACGTGTCGACAATCGTTTCTTTCAGAATCTGAATTTCTCTTGAATTCTCTTGAAGCTCAAAAATTTTCAGTTACAATCTTATTTTATATATTCACCTGTTTTGGGTAAATCCTGTCGAGTTCCAAAATTTTCATGCTCGCTGTCGAGGTGACGAGGTGATGAAGGCTGAAAATTGAAACTAATCTTTGTAAAATTCAACAAAATTCAATAGTAACTTGGAATTTCTAACTCGATTGCCCACCGTATGCCACTCCAAAGCGCCAAATAGGGCTCAAACGTTTTCGATGAGTCGTGTCGCCGGAAGAATTCTTCTAGCGCCTCACTGTGCGCTGTTTCATCGTCCAGAATTTGACCTCCTTGGTTCAGATAGATCCACTGTAGTTTCATTAGGTTCATTAAAGACTGTCGTTTTTAAAAAATACAGTATTTTCTATTGTTTACGGTAATTTTTTTGATAGAATAAGCGGCGCTTCTACTTTCAACAGGCACCAGTTAAAAAAGAGAAAAAAGTTAAAAAAGAGTTTTTTTCTTTCACCAAAACGTAAACGAAATTTAAGAGATTAAAATACAATAAGATTCTCTTAAACTCTTACCGTTTTGATAATATTGTAGAGATCTTGTTCCCCTTCCATAACAAGAGTGTCCGGTGAGGAGATCAAACGAGCCAAGGCTTCTAGACTGAAAATTGAAATACTGTATATTTCAAAGTACTGTATTTCTCGATTAGATAGCTAAAGATTTGAGTATCGTATACTGTAGTGTACTGTATTTTCCCTTTTGAGCTCTTTTAGACGTATATTGGGATCGACCAAATCCGGTCGCGCTGGAAAATTTTTTGAAGTCCGGCTTGGTTTCTTTAAATCCCATGATTGGATCAAACTCAAAGTTTCAGAGCCAAGACCTGTACTTGTTTTTTTTTTCCTTAAAATCGACAACTCACCTAATTTCGGCTAGAAATTTTTTCTCCTTTGCGAGCCGCCAAAAGTTAATTGTCAAGAATGAAGTTACTTTTTGGATGACCGTCGGCAAACCGTACATGATGGCCAAATCAAGGAATCTGAAGGAATTAGAAATTGGATAGTTAATCTACTATATATGAAAGATCTACCGTAGTCTTTCTGTCTGTCTTTCTGTCTGTCTTTCTGTCTGTCTTTCTATCTGTCTTTCTGTCTTTCTGTCTGTCTGTCTGTCTTTTTCGACTGGTAAAAATCACTTCAGCACTCGATCATCGCCGATATCTTGGCACATCATCTCGGCGCAACGGTCAAGGAGGCTCTCCTAGAAATTCAAGTTAAAAATTGAAAGCAGCTTACTTTTTTTATATATCTAAATACAGTAATCTAGTTTCATTTTCTTTTACCAATTGTAGCAGCGAGGCAGCTGAAAGGATTCCCTCGATCTCCCCAATCTCTAATGTGATCTCATTCGAGTAGAGCGAGCCAAGCACTTGGTGAAGCGCTAAACTTGCTATTTGCTTGCAAATTTGTTAAATTTGCATTTTCAATCTCAAAAGATTCACTGAATATCTGTAAGTGTGAAAAGGAAATGAAAAATTTCCCTCAATCAACCCACCCTCAACGGTGACCTTCCCGGCGGGAAACTCCAACTTCACCACGTTTTCACTCCGCTCTTTCCAATCGGATTTTTCTCTGAAAATGGGAAAGTTGAGATTTTCAGGTTTATAGTATACTTGACATATTGAATTAGTTTTTTTTTCTTTTCACTCAATGTTGGAAACTCGATAGAGTTGTTCACATAGCAACTTATTATGACACGGAATTCGTATTTTTTTTGTTAAGATTATGCATATTTGTTTCATATCTTCGGATTTTTTTTTTTAATTCAAATTTGACTTGCCTAAAGAGTGCTTCGAAATATTTGCACTGTTTGAGATAGAGCTTGTGGAGATTCCATTGATGGCCTACCGCTAGCACGGCCACATCGCTGCCCTCGCCCTGAGGAAAAAGATAGATAACACTTTGAAGTTTCAAGTTTAAACTTTAAAATTTTTGAAACCAATATCGTAAACTTACCCTAAGTACTTATTAATATGTTAATTGTTTTATAATTCGACTACAAGCTGATTGTCTCCAAGAAGCTGGGAGTTTGAGACGTTTGAGCCAATGAGGTCAAAAAAAGTACAAAAACTCTACAATTCTTAGATTTCATTTTAAAATGCTAGCATTACTTCTAACTAATTCTAACGTTTCCATTTAATACCTGCAAAAATAGCTTCTCGTGAACATATTTTGGCGTGTCAAGTTTTGCGATTTTCTTCGGCGAACTACACTCTGGCTCTGCATTTTGGGCTTTTCGTTTTCCTGAAAATTCCATTCAAATGAGAATCAGCTAATTTTAAAATCAAATAATTTTAAAATTTTAAAGTTTCATCGAGATTTGTTCAATAGGCTTGCAAGAATTTCAGCAACAAATTTTCGAATTCAAAATCTTAGCAAAAAGTGGCATCAAGTCAACAAGAATGATCTGTTTGTCTAGCTATATTTTGATTGAACCAAATCAAATCAATATTTGGAATCAAATCCTTTATTTGTATGAATTAAACCTTTTCTCGTCTTTTTCCTCTTCGGCTTATCCTCGGTATCTTCATCGTCCTCGGTGGCCGTTTCGTATTTCGCGGAATTGTTGCCCATAATGAAGAATCAAGATTTATATATTAGATAACTAGCAAATAGAGTGAATATGCAAAATTCGATCAATTCTGTGGCAGCCTTGGTGGAAGGGAAAGGGTGGGTGAGGGGGTTGTGGTCAGCTGGTTTGACGAGTGAGCAAAGGCGGCGAAGAGGCGGATGAGAAGGGAAGTCTCTTTCTTGTTCTATTCTACTCACTCTGTGTGCTAACCCCAGGGTATTTACATAGCAATCTTTATACATAGTATCATAAATTCGAATGAAAGACAGATGAATGTAAAGCAAACAATGCTGACACCGTAATTTTGACTCTAGGTTTTATCCATTCTATATACTCACCAGCCAGAAAAACCCGCCTAACGGCGGATTTTTCTGGCTTTGTGCAGACGAATTTTATTTTCTTCACCCCTAGAGGCATCAAAACCGTGACCTTCCTCACTCAAAAAGTGTAAAAACAAAGAAAGAAAAAAGTTTGCACGGGCAGGAATCGAACCCGAGACTAACGTTGCTCAACTTGACAGATCGGACGCCGGAACGCACTAGCACTCGGCCACGCGATAGCGTGTATTCTTTCATTTCGATTTTTAGAAAAAACGGTCAAATTATGTGTCAGATATTATTTGATTTTTGGTAACGTTTGTAATGTCAAACTAAAAGTTAGGTAAGAAGGTTTGTAATGTCAAATTTTCAGATCGATTGGTTCAGCCCTTTTTTTTTAAAACAGCGGAACAGACAGACAGAGCCAAAAAGTAGATAAAATGGATAAAACTAAAAGCAAGTTTATGGTAGTTTGCTGAAAGTGGACACGCTTTAGTAAATGGGTTAAAAGGGAGGGACACGCTTCGAGTGTTGCACACTTGCACACACTAATGTTGCACACTTTGAAAAGTGTCTGAAGAGCACATTTTGTAATACTGCTGTTTCTGAATGTACAAACAACATGGTACTGTTCTTGATGTACACTTCAGAGATGCCAATTGCACCAAAAATTGAAAATCTAGTTTCCCGAGGTTAATCGATGCACATGCCCCAGCTGACTGGCAAATACAGGACAAGGGAAAAAGACGAGAAAGAGCTCTTTCTCCTATTCAAAAACCCCAAAAAGAAAGCACTAGCCGGCCGAAATTTGGCGCGTATTTTGGATTTTCAAAAAAAGACGTCGCACTTGATGATTTCACAAGAGAAAAAGCTTTTATGCTCTAACACCGCCAAAATAGCACCGCTCTGATTACCGTACTTTTGGCGACTGTCTAGAAAACTTCGGCCACGCTTGGTAATATTTTTAGAGCTTGTTCTTGCTACACTAAGCTTATACTAGGCTATGGCTCAGAGTACTGGCTGAGCATAGACTTGATGCTGCCTCGGGTGTTGTTAACAGCCTAGACGTGCTACGTACCTCCTTTGTCGCTCCCGCGTTGTTTGCGTGTTATTTATCTAGGCTAAAGCTCCGCACATATAACGTACTGACCGAGCACAGTCTAGTATGCTTAATCACGTCCGAGTATTGGCTGGGCATAGGTTAAGACTGGCTGCCTGTTACTTGCCTTAAGCTAGATCTGCCTCGACCACAAACAAATAATTCACAAACAAGTTCTAAAAATTTTACCAATCGATTCAGCGTGGCCGAAACCCCTAGAAAAGGCACTTGCCAGAGGCATTTTTGAGGCCCCTCCTAACCTGTATAGCCCCGTAAAAGTTGATATTTGTTGCGCTGTCTAGATGTTTTGCATAACTTTTGATTCATTTACCCATCCATCCATACTCACTCTTCCCCTTTTCGTATTTCTAATTTCAAGTTGCATTCTTGTTTTCAAACTAAAGTATACTTTTTCTTTTAGATTCGCCCGATGGATACGAACAAACTGGCAATGCTTCGTGTCAAGGAGAGGACTATGGTCGACGACCCTTCCTACCAAGCTGATTGGGCGTCGAAGCGCTTCGTCTGGGTGCCGCACGAAACCGAGGGATTTCTGCTCGCTCAAGTCAAAGAGGAACTGGCCAATGGTACGGAGTTTTGTGATTTCACGACTTTTCTTGCAAAGACTATCCAAGAATGGCTGTTTTTAACTCGTCTGTAAGGAATCCCGGAAGTTTCAAATTCGACCATGCTTTGTATTTCAGGCCCAACCCATAAAAGGACTGGCATGTCTAACTCCTCAATTGCTCTAAATTTTTCGATGTCTAAAGTGTGAGCAGTCTTTTTGGTTTTAGCAGATGAGCATTTTAAATTTGATTGCACTGATTGGTTCAAGTTATTTGGACCACAATTGTCCTGCTAGCTTTCAAGAAAATGGAGAATCAGATGACTTGGATAGATTTCTTGCTATGTACCTAGTAGACCTTTGACGGGATACCCTTAAGCTAGCACACACAGCCCCAGGGGATCTGGAAATTGAAAAACAGTCATATAATGTTAAGTTTAATCCTCTCGGTCTTTCTCAGTAAACTAATTTCATTCTTGAGGACTTCTTCGTCTGATCATCGCGGAGACTGGTGAAGAGAAGACGGCGTTCAACGACGATGTCCAGCGAACAAATCCTCCGAAGTTCGAGAAGACTGAGGATATGGCCAATTTGACAATGCTCAACGAGGCTGGGATTCTACACAACCTCAAGTCGCGCTACTTTTCGGATTTGATCTACGTGCGTTTACACTTTTTCTAGCTTATTATACTGCTTTGTTTAGACCTACTCGGGGATGTTCTGCGTTGTCGTGAATCCATACAAGAAGATGCCAATTTACATGGAGGAAATCGCTGATGGATTTCGTGGAAAGGTGCGTATCTTACTACAAGTCTCTTTTAATTTTGTGATTTAGAATCGTACTGATGTGCCTCCGCATATTTTTGCGGTCACCGATGCTGCTTACCGGAACATGCTACAAAATCGTGAAGATCAAAGCATCCTTTGCACGTAAGTTGCGAAACTCTAGCCTTTATAATGTTTTTTGTTTAGCGGAGAATCTGGAGCCGGCAAGACGGAGAACACGAAGAAAGTGATTCAATATTTGACGTTGGTGGCTGGTCAAATCCGACAAGAGCGTGGCCTAAGGGGAAGCGTCACCTCGTTGAACACCAGCAATGCGAATCGCTATATGGTGTTTACAGTTTGGCAAACCCTTTAATATTTGAATTTAGGGGAACCTCGAGGAGCAACTGCTACATGCTAACCCGATTCTTGAGGCTTTTGGCAACAGCAAGACGATCAAAAACGACAACAGTTCTCGCTTTGTTTGTGACTAATGCCGTTTCTAACTTACAGTTTAATTTAGGGAAAGTTCATCAAGATTCATTTTGATGCCCGCGGACTAATTGCCGGAGCAAGCATCGAATTCTATCTTCTGGAAAAATCTCGCGTCATCCATCAAGCTCCGAAAGAACGAGCATTCCACATCTTCTACCAACTTCTCAAGGGAGCCGACTCCAAGTTAGCTGGTAATAGTGAATTCATTAAAACGCTTTAACATTAATTTTAAGATGAGTTGCTTCTGGAGGCTACACCCAATGCGTATCGCTTCCTTTCAAATGGTGACACTTCAATTCCAAATGTGAACGATCGAGAAGAATTCCGCAATTTGGTGGCTGCTCTCAATGTGTGTTCCTTTGATTATCTTCATTATATAAAACATTCGTTGTTGCATTTGTTTGTATTATATTGTAAGTTTAGGTGATGGGCCTCAGTGACGAAGAAGTCAAAGCCATCTTCCGCGTTGTCTCAGCTGTCTTGCTTTTTGGAAATCTGAAGTTCGCTCAAGACAAGACGTCCGATCAAGCTTACCTCGTCGATGACAAAGTCGCCCAGAAGATTTGCAAGCTGCTTGGTCTGCCCATTGGAGACTTTATGCGTGCCTTTGTCAAGCCAAAGCTACAGGTATTGCTATTACTACTGTCAGCCTAGATTTACTTAGGTTGGTGGCCGCGAATCTTTCGTCCGCTCGCAAACTGCAGAACAAGCCGAATTCACCGCTGAAGCCATTGCAAAAGCATGTTATGAGCGTCTGTTCCGATGGTTTGCGTTGGTGTTATGATTCTATAAACGTTTATTTATAGGCTAGTTCAACGAATCAATCGCTCATTGGACCGTACTCGTCAGAATACAACATCTTTCATTGGAATACTTGACATTGCTGGGTAAATCTTCTCAATTTAACTTTGACTGTTTGTTTTAGCTTCGAAATCTTTGAGAAGAATGGCTTTGAACAGCTCTGCATCAACTACTGCAACGAGAAGCTTCAGCAGCTCTTCAACCACCATATGTTCATCCAAGAGCAAGAGGAGTACAAGCGCGAAGGAGTGAAGTGGAATTTTGTCGACTTCGGACACGATCTGCAGCCCACAATTGATTTGATTGACAAGGTTTTATTTCTTTTCATTCTTTGTAATTGGTTGAATTCAGAATATGGGGGTAATGGCTTTGCTCGATGATACCTGTCTGTTCCCAAAGGCGGATGACAAGAATTTTGTCGAAAAGTTGATCGGACAACACAAAGACCACGCAAAGTTTATTCCACCAGAGGCTCGATCAAAGTTCGTTTTTAGCCTTTGAATTTTAAAATTTAACATATTTAGAGGCGCCTTTGCTCTGATGCATTACGCTGGTCGTGTCGATTATTCGGCTGATGGATGGCGAATGAAGAACATGGATCCGTTGAACGACAATGTCGTAGACCTTTTGCAGCACAGTTCGGATCAAATCGTCGCCGAAATGTGGAAACATGGTAGCGATTATTTATCACTTATTTTCTAATCGCACGCAGTAGGTTTTCGTTTTAGCTGAGTTTGCGTCGATCGCCTCTACTGAAAGCTGCGAGTCAATATTCGGAGCACGTGCCAAGAAAGGGATGTTTCGCACGCAATGCCAACTTTACAAGGAGCAACTTTCTCGACTGATGAGCACTCTGGAGAATACCAATCCGCACTTTGTGCGCTGCATCATCCCCAACTATGAAAAGAAGGTTTGGTGCTTGTTGTGTATTCAAGTATTTTCAAATTTAGCCAGGAAAGATCACTGCCCCTCTTGTGTTGGAACAACTGCGTTGTAATGGAGTCGTTGAGGGAATTCGAATCGCTCGCCAGGGATATCCAAATCGATTACTTTTCCAAGAATTCCGCCAGCGCTATGAACGAATTTTGTGCCCCGATGTCATTCCAAAGGGCTTCATGGATGGAAAAGAGGCGTGCAGGTATAATTTTTGTTTACCAACGATTAATAATTTCTTTTTAGGTTAATGCTTGAACATCTTGCCGTCGATACGGCCATCATTGGCAAAACAAAAGTCTTTTTTAAAGCGGGACAATTGGCGATCCTTGAACAAATGCGCGATGAAAAGATCACAAACCTGATCGTCGCTTTTCAGGTTTGAGCTTGTTTTATTTTAAAAAATCCTTTTTATTTCAGGCACATTGCCGCGGCAACTTGGCTAGACGGGAGTTTAAGCGTCGCACGGAACAAGCAAATGCGATTCGAATCATTCAGAGGAACGGACTTGCATGGATGAAACTTCGAGGATGGCACTGGTGGCGCTTGTTCATGAAAGTTTGCTAATGGTTAGATTATGTTGTTTTAATATGAATTTAGATGAAGCCTCTTCTGGAAATCACAAAGACGGACGAGGTTATTGCCGAGAAAGATGACGCCATCAAAAACATGTCCGAGAAGTTGCGTCGCAGTGAGGTCTACATTGATGATTGTGGAAAGCGAATTGAAGTTGTAAGTTTTGATAACCTAGTGGCTTTAATATTTAAATGTGTTTCTTTAGTTGAACGAAGATCGTGCCCGCTTGCAACAACGCTTGGAACTTGAAACAGCAGAACGAACGGATGCCGATGAAGAACGTCAACGACTCAATGCAAAGAAAACAGAACTTGAAGAGGAACTAATGCACATCTCTGAGCAAATGAAGCAGGAAATGGCCAAGGCATCCAGATTCGAGTCCGAAAAGAAGAAGCTGCAGGTATGCGTGTTAACTTTGAATAAACTATTTCTTGATTTTAGACTGACATCAGAGACTTGGAGGTGCAACTGTCGGCTGAAGAGAACACTCGTCACAAACTCATCCAGGAACGCACGTCGTTTGAGAAGAAGCTTAGGGACTTGGAGCTGACGCAAGCTGAGATGCAGGAATCAAATGCAAGGGTTTGTTTTGCTTTTGTCATTGATTGTGTAATCTTTACTTTTAGTTGACAAAGGAAAAGCGCTCGTTGGAAGCACGTGTGCAACAACTTCAAGAAAAGCTAATCGACGAAGAAGAGCGCCACAAGAACATCCAGAAAGTGAACGGCAAAACCGAAACGGATTTGGCTGCACTGCAAGAAAATGCTAGGCGTGAAACGGTTTTTACTAATTTTATTTCTTGGCATAAAGGACTTTAGGGTACTCTTCTGAAGAAAATCAGCGCCTTAGAGATGGAACTGGCTGACGCAAAGGAGTTAATTGAAGAGGAAAAGCGGTATGTAATGTTTATAAGATCTTCAATGACATGTTTTAGCAACCGCAATCTCATCGCTTCAAAGTTGCGCACCAAAGATGAGGAGTACCGTGCAATGGAGGAGCAACACGATGATTTGCAGCGAGATCGTGATCGGTTAAACAAAGTAATGGAACTTTTGTTTGTCTATTGTGTCTATTATAAATTTTAGGAAAATTTCGCCCTGAAGCAAAAAGAAGCCGAATTGCAAAAGAAAATCGATCTGGACGCCGAGGAGAAGTTTGAAGATCTTCGCAAGAAATTGAGCCGAGACCTCGAAGACGCATTGGATCGCTTGAAGAAAGAAGAGCTGGCTCGAGAAAAAGCAGAACGATCCAAAAAAGAAACTCATCCAAGAGGTTTGGTAAAATAACATGCGTTTTATCTGCATAATTTAGAACGAAGACTTGATGAATGAGGTGGGATTGAGCAATGCTGCTCTTTCGGAGGTACATATTTTTGCCAATAATATTGTATGTGTTCATTTAGGCCCAGCGCCAACAACGCAAGCACGATCAGCTTCTTGCGGAGGAGAAGGCATTGCGAGACGATGTGAATCGCGATAAAGAAATGACCATGCAACAAGTGAGCAAGTGTTTATTCCAACTTAACTTCTTATGTTTAGTTGCGTGATCTCGAGACAAAGAACCTGCAACTTGTGCAAGATCTCAACCGACTCAAGGAGAAGAACGATGAGCTGGAGAAGGCGAAGAAAGTCCTTCAACTGGAGGTTGATAGTTTGGTGAGTTATTAGGATTTGTTAAAAGAAAATTATTTTTATAGACTAGCAACGAAGATGCCAGTGGAAAAACTGTCTTTGATCTGGAAAAAGCAAAGCGATTTTTGGAGGAGGAAAATATTCGTCTTGGCGAACAAGTAAGAAGTAATTAAAGGTCTTCTTAATATCTTTTGTGTAGATCATCGAGCTCGAGGATGAATGCCAGATACTCGATGATAAAAACTCTCGTTACGAGGTGCAGATGAACGCCATGCGAGCGGAACTCGCTCGTGATCGTGAACAACGGGAACAAGAGGAGGACGACAACCGGCGACAGGCCACTAAACAAGTAAGTATCATTGTCTAGTTGCTTTATTGATAAGCGTTTTTTAGATCCGAGAGCTTGAAGAACAACTTGAAGAAGAAAGACGCCAGAAGAGCGTCGCTCTCGCTGCTAAACGTAAGGCTGAGAACAATGCCCAGTTCTCTAATGAAAGTGTCGAGTCCTTGACCCGCCAGGTGATTTGAATTTTGCAACCAACAATGGTATTTTTTTAGATTGAAGAACTGAATAGACAAGTTCGTCAAGCTCGTCGTGCAGAAACTCGGCTGGCTGAGATCAACACCATGCTTGAAGCCGAGAAGCAAAACAGTGAACGCTGCAAGGAGATGGTAATAATAGACTTAATAAAAGTGCACTTGACTTATTTTAGGCTGATCGTTCTGCGCAGCGCCAACGTCAACTGAAGAGGCAAATTGAGGAGCTCGAGGAAGATGTGGATCGGGAGAAAATGAAAAACCGTCAGCTCAATCACGAGATCAACGACCTGCAGGAGGGCAACGATCGTCTTACCACGGAAAACAGTCGCTTGACGGTAAGTTTTTTTAAAGTATTTTTTGATTTGGTTGTTTTTAGGCACGTATGAATGCAATCGATCGCACAAGTGTTCGTCCTTCGATGGCTCGTGGAACTACGCGCTACGGAAGCAACAGCTCTCTTCGTGGTATGCGCGATTTAATAATTGTATTCAATTCGGTTTCGTTTAGATTCGTTCACTCGTGAGGGGCCGGAAGCATTCGACGATGCGCGTTCATCTTCTGGAATCACCGGAAGTCACGGTGCCCGTCTCTCGGATGCTGGAAGTGATTCTCGTCTCTAAAACCGACAGCGACAGCGTCATTTATATCTGTGCATAATTTATTTTGTACCTGTTTTATGCTTGCTTGTGTGTTTGTTAATTTATTGCGCAAACTTTTTGTAAGAAGCTCTTGTTTTATTTCCGGAAATTCTTCATATAGTTGCGTTTAAATCCTTTTTAAAATAAATTTTATTTGTACATTGAACCGAAGAAACACCAATCACAAGGACAAACACAAGCAACCAACTTGGAACAAACAATTGGAATTGCTTTTCGACAACCAACAATAAAATATTTGGAAGGCATTGTCGGACATCACGAAATATTTTGTGGATAAACGGGAAGTCGGGATTTTACTGGTATTACTTGTATAGTCTTGATTCACATTACTTTAGTAATACAGCATTGCTACACGGTATGAAACGTGCAAGATCCGATAAGTAGATTAAGCTAAAGTGGCTCCTTCAAACCACCAACATATGGATATGCGAAGTTGTTTAAGGCCCTTCAGGGAAAGAAGATTGCCTATTTCAACATTGCTTAATGCTTTTGCTGTTGTAGACTTGGAAACGTAAAGCTCTGTCGTTGCAGATTGCTTTATACCGATATCTTTAACGAAATGAAGTTTAACTCTGAGAATTTATACAAAGTTAACATTGTACAGCCGAACTTCGATATAGCGAAATGTCGAGACGAAATGAAAAATGTCGCGGTCTTCTAGCTAAAAGTTATAAATTTACCGCTTTTCAAGGATCAAGCTCGATAAATGGAAGTAGATTAAGTAGATTAAGTAGATAAATGGAAGTATACTGTACTCTGTCTGTGCTCCCTGTTTCCGAAACCTTAACCACCTGGCCCAATTGGTGTCCCGAAATTTTTCTCCAACCTACAAGAATCTAAAAGGAATGTCATTTCATTTCATAAAAGGAATGTCATTTCAATTGCAATAAAATTCAATTCTGAGGCAAATTTATCATGTATAAGTAAAAAAATAAATCACAACAAGGATAACATCAAAAATATTTACAAATAGCGACAATAATTCAATGAGATCAAAAAATAGGGTACCATTTAGTCTTCGTGTTTCGTTTTTTCTTTTATGTGCTTCTTCTTTGAATCCTGTCGACTTCCGCTTCGGTTTTTGCGATTTCGATCCTTCTTCCTGAAAAGTAACTAGTGAGTTGTTACTTCAAAGGAATATTCGATTACATGAAAAACCAACTTTTGTTTTTCTTCTTTCTTCTTCTTTTCTTTCACGCTCTTCGATGAGACATCGATAATTTCGATGCTTCGACTCCGGCTCGGTGATCTTGGCTCCCTAAAATTTAGCAATATAGATAACCTCATTTGATAACTTAAAAAATAAAATACAATTTGATATGTCTCACAATGATTTTAGAGTGCAAAAGTACCGCTCAACTTTTTAAAAATGTTCACCCTTTCTGCCGCTTCTCCTTTGAAGTGTCCCTCGTTTTTCGTTCATCTCTTCTAGCTTCCCTCCTTTCGCGATCGCGTAAACGTTGCCTAAAACAAAACACAGATTAAAAGTTTATCGAATTGTTAGAAATGTCGAATATCTCATACGCGTAGCTGACCTATTCTCTTACAACTCATAAACGTTTAAGCACTTACAGAACTTCTTGTTCCTTTTCGCGTTCCCTCTGATGATGTGCCTCTTGTGCTCGTTCGCGTCGTTTTTCTTCTCGTCGATCACTGGAAACGATTGAGTCGAGAGTTCGTGAGAGAAACTCCTTGTTCGCAATGGGTCTCCTAAAATAGGAATTGTAGATGAAAAAAGATATGTAATACTTCGATTATTTTCTAGGAACAATACATACGCTACTTTAAAGCAATGATGGCTGTTTCCGAATGAATTGTTTAAGTTTAGAACTATAATGCCAAAACAACTCACGTCTCAAGTCGTCCATTGCTTTTCTCACGCTCCGCTTCTCGCAAGATCGCAGCTAAAAAGAAAAATGGATGTCATTTCTGCAAAAGTACCAGCTTACATTCCAAATCCCACAAAAAATCCACAAACCTTTAGCTCGTTTTATTCGTTCCCCCAAAAGCGCTTCTCGGCGCTCACGAATTTCTCGATCGATCTCCGATTCTTCTTCCACATTTGTCGATTTCCCACCACTTTGCTTTCCATTCGAAGAGTCACCCTAGAGTTAAACAAGTCCTGAAAATTAAATAAATCAGCACTGCTCATCACCTAGTCCAGCGAAAATTATCGACAAATTTTGATGGCTTTATTTGGTAAAAGCGTGGGCGTCGAATTTTCATTGGACATTTTATACCAAGTTGACTTGATAATGGAACACTTTTAACCTTTGGCTTATTTGACTTCAAAAAACATATTTCAACAAAAATTACCGTTTTTCCCGGGCCCCAAAAAGTTCCCAATGACGAGGCTCGCATCTCGGGCGTGATTTCACTCTTTGCGCTGCTCGTTTCTCCAACCTAAAAAGGAACATTATTATATTTCGTTCAAAGTAATCCACAGTTGTAAAAACGCTTAGGATAGAACACATTATAGCACCAACAAATATCCAAAGACTCAGCTCTCTTTTATAAGCGTCATCTAGAAAACAAGTCTTACCTGTGTCTCTTTAATTTGCGTTTTTCGATTCCTGTTCAAAAGCGCGGCCATCTTCGACAACTTCGACGGGCCACTCTCCGAGGCATCACTTTCCGAGGGTAGCATCTAAATAAAAATAAATAGTGACTGATTAAGGTTAGCAAAAAGAAACAACAATGGAAATTGTAAAATTTGGAAAAATGTTGACACTTTTAGACTGATTACTGAACAAAACGAGTCAGCTGTATCGTTCTAAGTTGTTCAATTAGCCTACAAAGATGCTCCGCAGATGTACTCATAATATTCCACCGTCAAAAGGAAGCTTATGTACCAACTAATAGTAAAAATCTGTCAAGAATATAAATTTTCTTTGATGTAACGTGTTGTTGGATTGAAAAACCCGTAAGATTTTATATCCTATTTTTATAAAATCATTTATTCAGTAGACGCATACAATCTACGCATCAATCTATCAAATCAATAGACACCTAGAGCTCTGATCAAAAGACACACACAAAGAGAGCTCGGATGTGAAAAAGTTATTATGAAAGAAAGTGGAAGTGGAGAGATAGGTAAAAAACACAGTGAGTCTCGAAAATTCTTTAAACATAAAAAATCACATACATTTCTACTAGAGACTAGTCATCGCGATCAATCAAAAAATATGGAGAAGTTCGGTCAACGGGGAAATACAAAAGTAAAAACGGACATAGGTTTTATGAGCAAATATTTGGAGCCAACGTTATGTTATGCCTTGAGAAAATTTGGTACAGCAAAAATTTCGTGTCTGAAGTTTTGGCAAGCTTCGTCCGTGAGGGAAAGTTTAGAACCACAAGATCATACACACAAAGAAAAACTAAAGGAGGAAATCTCACTATACACACGTAATAATCAAGTGAATTCAGCGTGGGAGGCAAAAATAGAAAAATATAGTCGATGTTTGGCGTTACAAATTTGAAAAAGGTTTCATAACAAAACATCAACCATGAATCAGTAACATTCTCAATGAGCATGAACATCGTATCCCTCCTCCACTACTCCGCTATCCAACGAATGACCCGAGTGCCGACGACTCCCATTTTGCTGTACTTGCTGTGCTTGTACCGTTGTCGTTCTATCTCCATCATCGTCCCCTTCACCGTCCGGAAGACCAGAGTCCCGTTGAGAGTCCGTACGCAGCGATATTCTCTCCATCTCCAACTCAATTCGCACAGATTCCATTCCTAAATAAGAACATCAGAATATTTTCAAAGTCTCATATGACGATCTCTGACGTTAGCAAGACCTACCGTGACATTCGAGAATTGATTCACCGACATCAGCAACAAAACGGCAACGATCGTCGTGATTTCTTGCATTAAAATCCAAAGTTTGATGATCTGGAGTAGTCAATCGAATCCCGAAGTCATAAGTTCCACGAGAAAAGGTCTGTAAATCAGTTAAAAAAAATAATCTTTTCGTTTCATTTACCTCAACTCGAGCTCCAAAAAGTGATGAATGAGCCCGGAGGGTGTATTGTTGTGATGGTGAATGCCGACGAACTCCGGAAGCTTTTGTTATCTAAAAGAATAATCAATAATCAGAAAAAAAGAGATCAAACGGACCACAATCATATCGTTAAACAAAAACACATCTCTTTCGTGGCTTGTTGATGGTTGCTTTTTTGATATGTCAACAATCTGGAAGAAAAATAGACAACGTTTAATAAAATAACTAACCTGGTTAAGTCGACAGTAGCAAACCAATCTTCGATGGGATTCGGAAAGACGCTAAATAAGGTTATATTTTACATTGCATGATTACAAATATTGTACCGGTTTTCCTTGTCCAAGAATAGCGCTCTCCACTCTTGCCACTTGTGCTACGTGATCATCTCCTGGTTGAAAAGCCTCTTCTTTGATTCGATCATAAATCGCCCCCAACATGTCTCTAAACAAATAATTTGACTCAAAAGTTTCTTTCCAAATCACACCTGTCAATATTCCCTCCTTCATCGATTCCTCTCAAGTTGTTAATAAATTGGTCCTTTTTCATCCTTTCCGACTGTTTCACGTTCCTAAAGTGTTTAAGAACTTGTTTAAACCGCTTTTTTTGCGTCAGACTTTAATACTTTAAAACTCACTTATTATGCAAGTCCGTGTTCAACATGATAATAGCGTAGGACAAAATGAACACCGTCTTGTGGCCTCCATGAAATTGCAAAGCACGAGCTGGATTCGATCGGGCGTAGTGCAAAGAAAAGTTCTAAACACGAGAATATTTGGAGATATCAATAAACAATTTACCTCCATGATGTGCTCAATCTTTTGACTTTCTCCGGGCAATCGAAAAAAGTGATTGCACTTTCGCAACGCCACGTCGACGTCCAGACCACGGATGTCCACTTCGGCGAGGGAAGTACTCGAGTACGCACTTGTGGAACGTAGATCGCAAAACGCCCAAATATTCCCCAATCATTTGTTTGCTCAAACCGCGACGGCCTAAAATAGTATTTAATCAACTTGCACAAAGTCTTTATGCAAATGTTAAATTAAAACAAAATTCGATTTATGAAATCGTTGCACTCACCAAATAACAACTTTGCTACACTTTCCGCGCTTTCATCGACAAACTCCCAGGCAATCAAGAGTTGAATTCCTCGCTCTGGTTTCCTGGAAAAAAACAATGATATTAAAATAATTTTTAACAAACTTATTGAAAAAGTTAAGGGCTATTCGGTACTGTCTCTTGCGTTCAAGTTCACTCAATCTTCTCGGAGTGCAGATTGGTTCTTCGGGTCTAAATCGACTATATATTGGCTATATGATACCGAGTACTAACCGCTGCTTCCTATGTTTCTTCTCCAATCGGGGCAAACTGTTGCAATGCATGGCCGATTGATGAAAAGCTCCATTGCCTCTTTGCACCCAGACATTTTGTTGATAGGCATTCTAAATATAGATGAAAATTAAAGTTGAATAGAATCAAGTTCGAATTTCGAATTTTCCTAATAAAGTTTCTTTTATCTCTCTTATAAAGATTGTTTTCTTCATCCACGTACTCGTACTATTATTAGATCATACCAAATTTTCAACTACAAACAAAAACTTTACCTGTACATGTGGTGGAATGTAGCCATTCTGAAGTGGATGATCCTGTGAGACGGATGAAGAAGTGGAATGAATCGTCGATGGTGACATTGAAATAGTGGACGCCGAATAATGCGTCGGTTGAATGCCTGACGAACTGTGCGCTGATGGATGTAGTGGATGAGATGACATTGATTGTGGAACTCGACGAGAAGTCAATCGCGGAGACATCAATGAATCTGAATTCAATACGTAAACAAAATATTGAAAAATTGTGCAATTGTTGGAAAAGGTATGATTCTTCTTGAATTTTCCAAAAACATATAAACAGTATGTAGGTTGATTCAATCGCAAACTCGAAATCAAACAAAGAACACATATCGACCAAATTATGGACAAAAGTGTCAAGATGTCATCTCTCACCTCGACCCACACACAGCAGCCGCGTGTGTGCGAATTTAAGCAAATAAAGGCGCTTTATTCGGATTTTACGGAAAGAAATTGGTATCTTTTAGACTTTTCTAGACTGCGCCTTTAGGCTTGAAGAATACCAAATTATATAAAATCTATTTTGTAAAGTCACCCACCAATCATACTGTACTCCTGTCGGCCTCTCGGTGACGGAGATGGAGGACTTCGAGTTCGTGATCGATCCTAAATAAAGAAAATTAGGCAAGTAAAGTCAAAAATGAAAAGTTGCCTAAAATCTGACGACTCTGATAGATTTTTCAAGAGTTTCCAGTCCAAAACTTACATTAACCATTGAATGAGTAGTTCGATCGGCTCGCAATTGGGCGCTCAACGATGTCGTTGGTGCATATCTAAAATAATAACAATTCAAAATAATTTTCATAAATAGTTCTTTCAAACAATAACTCAAATTTTTCTAGAAAAATGGATATGAGTGGATAGACCGTTGCGCAATCACTTAGAGCTGTATGAAAAAGTCGAGGAGAGACAAGCGATCTGAACGAGAAAACTAGGCCGGTTCTCATCATAACTAGCCAATCGGAAAGCTGCCTCTCTTTTCCTCTATTCGTTAGGGATCGTCTTGTTAACGGGCTTGCTTACACACAAAAAAACGGGGATTTAGATTTCCAAATGAATAGAGGTTGCACAACGTGGGTAATTGAAAAGATCAAGATCAAGAATTTAACTTTTTTCTACAACTAAGAACAAAGAACGGCCTACCTTGTACGATCGGGAGTAGTGAAACCATTGGAATGCGAACTCGCTCCTTGGGAATGTTCACCGGTCATCTAAAACGCTTGAATTATTAACTTGGTATGTATATCTAAAGTCTTAGTAACTTTTTTACAATTAAATTTGTAAGTAAATAGATAAAAAATAGATTGTTTAATCCCAACCTGCTTAAACCTCGAACTCATCTTGTAGTGTCTGTAGGCGCGTTGAATTATCGTAGCGGCACGGTGAGCCCGATCCCGACCATCGTACCGCCTTTCAAGTACCTGGAAAAAAAATGGATTATCGAATGAATGGATTGATTAGACAAAATGGATTACATTGGGCTAAACATTCGACAGAGTTTTTTTGTAGTTTTCAGAGATAAAGTCACAACATTTGCAGCACTAGGCGTTTGTTATTTTCCAGACTCCTCTTTCCTCCAGCCTTCTCTACTCCCTAATGCTTCCGTTGAAGGGTCGGCAAATCCAATCAGTGATTCACTATTTGACGCGTAGAGGGGTTTGTAAAAAGAAAATCAAAGTCAAATATTAAACACTTAAACACAACTCAAAAAACAATGAACCATTTTCAAAAACTAATATCTTGGCGAAATTCTGGCTCATTTTATCGTGAAAGTTTCTAATCTTTTATTGATATCCATATGGAAAAGCTCGAGTTTTTACTTTGACACATAAAATATCCATATAAACTCACTGCAGTTGTCCGCCGTTGAAGGTCGTCCGAGATTTCATAACTCGCGTTCCCGTAAACACGACTCGCTGATGTCACTCCTCGCCATTCCAGCATCAGCTCTAAAAATGAGAAACTACTGCCGGAAAAACAAAAATGAAAAAGACAAAACAACGAAAAAATCTTCTTAATCCGTGAATAAAATGGTGAAATTCTTCTTCGAAAGACCCCGCCGATAATTTAGTGTCAACGGGAGCAAAGAAATTTTTTCGCGGGCACGATAAGAGACGACAGCTCACTACTGTTCTCCGTCAAGAAAAAACAAAACGACCGTGTAAAAAATGCGATAAAAAGGAAATGAGAAGAGGAAAATATCTCAAAGAATAGAATTGGAGCTTTTGCAAGTATTGGTTTTGTTTTAGAACTAAAAAGGTATAATTTGGCTTAAAAATCTTGCATTTTTTGCAAAACATTTTCTTGCTGTAAAAGCAAAACAAACGATAGTTGCAAAAATCCTAATCCAGTTCACGAAGAACACAAAAAAGAAGACACACAAAACGAGGGCCTTTAACAAAATTTGGATGAGCCTTGTTCGTGTAATGTATCGGAGAAAAGAGAGAAAGGGGTTGAGAAGATTTGAATCTGAATGAGAGGAGAGCACACGGAGGAAAGGCTGTGCAGCGGGAATGCGATAAAATCGTGTGGGTGACTAAGGCTCTTCATTGCGTGTCGGGTGGTGAGAACAACGATCGTGTATGAAGTGAGAACGATGACCATTATGTATATGTTACGTCCGATTAAGAATACATTCTTAATAGGACGTAATCTACACAAGAGCTTGCTGTGGTAAAAAACGATACGACAAATTTTCCTAGACATCTTTAGAAATCAACGAGTAACAAGGAGAACTTGTTGCTTAATCTTTGAAAATAGACAGCTTATCATGCTAGTACTCACTGTTTATGTATGCACACACTCAAGGATTCGGAATGAGAGATGCTAGCAAAAGCGCCACGTATCATTTGGACCAAATTTGTGTTAGTGAAAAATCATTATAACAAATTACTTTTTTCCAACTTCTAACCAACTTTTTTTTCAGTTCTCTTGCTTCATAATTTTAGTTCTGACTGTTTTCAATTCGAAAACATGCCATAAAACACCATAAAGGCCATAAAACAGTCATTTGTGTCCCCCCAATTGGGCTTTTTGCCCTTTGTATCGATTTTATGTCATTTTTAAATCCGGTGAAGACGCCAAAATAGCGAGCATCTTCGACGAGAAAAAAAACAAAAATGATCATTCAGAGTGTGTTGAAAAGCGCAAATTTGGCGCAAATGATACGCAGCGCAAAAAAATGACGCAAATAATTTGGCACTTTTGTTAGCACCTCCGAAATGATTCCAAACTGAATCGTTAATCAAGTGCAACGCGCTTTCCCGGGTCTGGTGAGGGAAATTTGCATATCGGGGCGTCGATCGAGAAAAAATAGCATGTCGTGAGGGGAAAAATGTCTCACAACGACGAGGAAAACAAATTTGTGGAAATAAACAAGAGCATACTTTTGGACTGAATGAACTGATGAATTTAGGTATTTACTCCCTAATAGAAGATGAAATTCGAGAATTCCCTTGCTCTAATAAATCTTCTTTGAAAAGATAATGAAGTCAACGTTAACGGACACAATAGGATCATTGGATCATTTTGATATGTCACCCAGCAAAATGATTTAAGAACAAAAATTGAATAGTAAAATGGGACCAACCCTACGAAAAGACCAAGTTAAAGGTAAGCCAACGCAAATTCGGTCGACGCGGACCCTTGTCAGCCGCGAGAACTTGTATCAATAATGAAGTGCATGGCGCAAGTTGGGTGCCGACTAGGGGCAGCTAAGGGTCCGTGAAGAGGAGTGAGCAAAAAAGGAGGGGAGAGCGAGTGAAAGAGAAAGGCCCTACGGCCCACTGGTCAATGGGAGACACCCACTCGTCGGGTGGGAAGAGAGGCACACAGCACACCCATCCCACAGCACCCATCCCGCGTTGGCACGCACATTTGGCTCGAGGCCGCCTTTCCCCACTCTAAAAGCATATAGATTGGATATCGGAAAGGATTGAGGGCGACAAATCGTAAACATCAGTTTCCAATTATCTCTGAAAGGTCGTATTCGAAAGTTGGGGACAAGTGGTCGAAGCAAATGGATTAAAGAAATCAAATCGACTAGACGAAGTCCAATGGGAAATAGAGAAAATGTGACTCATTACAGGGGCAAAGGGAAAAGATCAAAAAAGAAAGAAAAATCAAATCGTTCGATCAATCGACGCTGAGCTGATCAAAGGGCGAATTTTGTAATCTCACCAATGAAAATAAAATTCTCTAATGAAATTAGAGTACCAAATTTAAACTCAGTTCTTATCTTTTCACCTGTATGAGAAAATCAAATGAAAATGGCACGAGAGTTGAAATTACAATTTCTGAGAGTGAAATCTCATAAATTGCAGTTTCGATTCGAAATGCATCACATTCTCACAAATAAGAGGCACATAACAATTGAAAATAATGAGAAGCACACAACATGCACATAACGATTGATGTGAGGTGAGAGAGAAATAGATTGGGCAGGGGTGCAACTGACCCTTTTCCCTGTGTGGAATGTCACCGGTGTGTGAGAGATGAGAGTGAGAGATCGCTCGCTCAAAAATGCTATCAGGTCTCCTCGCCGTCTGTCTCCCGGCTGTGGCTGAGACAGCGGTTATAAACGATTTCTCATGTTTTACTTTGAGCTCGACAAATTTCTCTTACAGCAGCAAATGATTTCTTTCGCTGAAGCTCTTTGACAAAAAGCTTAACTTGGCTGCTATTATTATCGAAACTGAATCAACCCTAATTTCTGAACTCCCTACCGTAACTTGCTTGGTGCCTTAAATTTCACAAGTCTTAAATAGACAAGCCAATTCCCTATTCATTTCATAAACAGCATTCAGCCCTTTGCAAAACCCAAGTAGCGGTCAAACTTTTAATAGCGGCAGAAGCACAGAAAGCTTTAAAAAAAAACATCTCTTATGTTAGCCCCCAAAATACTCCGAAAACCACAAAACAAAAGAAATCTCAGCAAACTCAAGCGGAAGGGAGGCGCACAAAAAAGCGTATAGAAAATAAGTCAACTTTTCTCCCGAGTTGCGAAGGGAATCCTAAAATTGTCAAGGGAGCGCTTTGCTGCAAAAAGGAGGGGAAAACCTCCATCGAGAGTGAGAGAGAACAAAAGGAGCAGGGGCTTTTTACCGATTTGTGACAAGGATGGAATACTTATTCGATGGGGAAATGGAAAAAAAGTGCAAAACATTAGTCGACCCAAGATCGAATTGGCATCACTGTTCAACTAGAGTGATTGATTGGTCAGAGAAGGTTTTGTTCTTGGAAATCGCAAAATTTTGAAAAAGTGAGTTGGTAATTTGATGCTGAAAATCAAATGCAGACGACCGTTTTTCAAGGGAGATGGGGAACGCTTGTAAAAACGAGTGCAAATAAAGAGAGAATACCGGAAACTACCCCACACAAGGCATGCCCTACTGCGTCTGGCTCAATCAATAATGTGCGCATGGAGGGGATTTCCACTCTTTCCCTTTTTCACCGAGTACAGATGCTACGTCGGCACCCATCCCAACGACCCCCTTTTCCCTTCCTTCTCCATATGCCGAGCGAGCCCTAAATATAGTGATCAGATTCTAGAGACAATATCAAACAACGGATTTATCTTCATTAAATGTAAACGATCCAAACGTTTCTTTTCTTTCAAATAAAGACAGCGCTTTAAACCTAACATATGGTGTTTTATCTTTTTTTCAACGTTAGTCACAATTTATTTAATGAACACAGTTTAACAATGTCACAAACTTACAAGAAAAAAACGAAATAAAATTCTGTAGTGAACGTAATCAGCGAAAACGATGAAGGCATACCATTTAAAACCAGATCAAATTCGAGAAAATTGGCACGAAAAGTAGGTAAGTACATATTTATGCACAATAAGTTGCGGAAAGATTTAGATTGACCTACTAGGTAGCCCAATCTCATTAACAAATGAAAAAGAACAACATTTTTGGAGTTGTTCGACAAGATATGTTTTCAAATTTAGTCAAAACAAAATAGATAGTAGCTATTAATGTAATTGGTCAGTTTGACGAGTAGTTTGATTTGATGAGTAGAAGCTGTTTTGTGAACTCGCACCGGAAAGATTTCGCAAAGAAGCGACAATCGATCATCGCAATGATTCGTTGACTTGTGTAATGGTCACATTTATTCCTAGAAATACTAGGTGATAAACAAGCCTTTAATCCTTTAAGGGATGAATTTAGGTATTTTCTCTTTCAAAGTAACCTAACTTTGTTAAAAGATGTAAAAACAAACCTAAGTTCCCGTTTTCGGCAAAAAGTTGCGCGGTTGGTGTATCAAAAGCAAGACAATCGGATTGTGAAATGGCGTGCGCTACTCCCTCATGAATGGACCGCGGCGTGGCTTCCCATACAAGGCGACGACGACTAGTTGACAATTCAAGCCTAAATGCTCCAGTGCTTTGTTCGTTAAAGTTTCTTAATACCTGTACATAAAGTTTTCTGCTTCTTTTTTGGCTCCAATCAGTTGAACAACGGCGTAGAAAATTTGCTGCGATTGCTCGAACTTTTCCTAAAACAAGGAGTCTGGAAGTCAAAGTTCAGCCATACCTGCTTCTCGAGTACTAGCATAAAGTGATATCCAAAGCAGCTCTAAAATTTTTTAGTTTATTGTTGCAAATCAAAGCTAACCTGCATCATGACCCAATCAACTGCACCCGGTAAATTGATGTCGGTAGCCAAAAAGACAATATCCTCGCCTAAAGAAAACATTATTTATATTTATCAGTTAAAACATACCTTGTAAAGTCGTAATGCTCTTATGAATTTTAATTAAATGTGGCATCACTTCTTGAAGGGCTCCTTGCCATCTAAAAATTTATCTATTAGTTTACCAAAAACCCAAACAAACTAACCTGCACGACGCACCAGGGCAAGGGCAGCTGTAGGGTCTGTAAAGAACAAGTTTTTACATATAATTTACGTACTTAATACGTCATCTTCAAAGTAAACCCTTACCTGAACTCGCACGTCTCTTCGTGGTCCACTTTATCGTAATGATGAAATATCGATCCACATCCAGAATTGCTGAACTTGCAGGAAACTTCACCGTGTTTGCAATCTTCTCAAGTCCAAGATTTCGGATGCTTGCTAAACTTTTAATTTGTCTTGTGCTAAATAAAAACTATACGTGTAGGGCCGCGGCACGTTGGGCAACACTGTAGCTTCGGTCGACAGTTCCCACAAACAAGATGTCCGCTTTGGCATTGCAAATAGGGTGGAAGCATGTATTCGAGGCAGACCGGACATTCAAAGGCAGATAAAACCTAGATAAACAGAATAAAACGGTTAATAAACAAATTGACTTACCTCTGCACTACAATCCAGCGAATCCGTTGGTCCAACTGCTGTCACAGGTGCCACACTTTGTGTGGAAGAACCAGTCGTGGGATTGGCAGCGGCAACTAAACAACTTCTTTAGATTCCAAAATACTTCTCTCACTATCTTGCCAACTTTTGACAAATTCCGGAGCGATTTAGGCATGTCTAACTAATAAAAAATATAGAACCGTCCTGGACGAGTTTAGAAAAGAAAATGAAAACGCCAGCTAATGAAAATTTTTAGAGTTAAAGTAAAAAAGAAGCACTTTAATACTAATGAATTATACAATATCCCATATCAATCTCTCCAGAACCTCTAGGCAAACTTTTACTTTATAATTGATTAATTACCGCTCTTAAAGGTTAAAAATTACCCGCAGGAGCGCTTCCTAGAACGATAGCCGTGCTCTTTTGCGTCTGCGGAGTAGGATTCCCTAAAAAATAATCGTTATGAAATCGAATTCAAAAGTAAGCACGCCACCATACGATTATTTCCAAGTTCTAAATCTTTTTTGAACAAAGTGCGATGCTTGCCGAAATTTACCTGCAACGGTCCGGGCGAATTGCAGCTTTCTCGTGAAGTCGGAATATGGAAGTTGTTCCCAGATCTACCACCACCGGTACCCCCACCTAAAGAAAAGTTCAACAATGTTTACAATCATCTAGTTTACCTGGTGGCAGTCCATTCGGACCATTAGAAAAAGACATCCTTTTGGAGTAAGGCCAAGCGATTATCCTAAAAAGCTCGTGAAGCAACCAAATAGAAAGACTCTCAAAGAAAAATTGAACAAAAAAGATAAGTAGCAATCAACATGATTGAGATTTAAGATTCGCACAATGTCTTACGCGTCTGCTCACTCTAAATTAACCAATGAATTTAAGAGTTCAAGAGGTGAAAAATCAAAAACGCAAAGTTGTTTAATTTTCTCTAGCTCAGCAAAGACAAGAAATTTTTAGCTCAAGTAGCAAACTGAGCAGCATGTACTCCACAAAATAGAGAAGTATCGCAAAAAAACAGCACTCTTATTTGGTCATTCGATAAGGGAAGGTGGAGGTGTGTGAGAGAGCGAAATGCATGTTTAAAGGCAAGAGACGCAGTTGCACCAGCTGACTAGAAATCGATTGGCGGTGGGGGTGTGTGTGCTTTCTGCGGGACGGAGCAAACTGGATCCTCCCTTTTCTCTTTTCTTCTCTCACTACTGCTCCACCCTCGCCCAGTTCTAAAAGATTGAAAAATGGCAAGAGGTAGTTACAAAGATAAACTGAAAATTAGGCAATTGTTGTTGATCGAGCCAGAATTCAGATTTTATATTCTTGCAAACAAATTTTCTTCACTTACGTACGATCTTCACATTCTATAATCTAACCTATATACAAGGTCCAGAAAGATGGTCAACTTTGTCACCATGGAAAACTTTTTCTGTTGATTTTTATACCAGATCGTGATGTCAAAAATGGTTTGTGCCTCAGAGGCCACACAATTGTAAAAAGTTGTTTTTTTCGATTTCTTCATAAATAAGAAGTCATGTAATGGTCAGGGGCCCAATTCATCGAATAAAATGTTCGGTGATTTGTGATTGCAAGTAATATCTCTAATTGTGGTTTGATAATAAATTGTGTTTGGATTTGTCTTAAGATCTGACAGGCTCAATTGAATAAATGTACTTCTCTGACATGTCCGACGAGCAGGAAAACCCACCGTAGGCGGGTTTCCCGCTCGTATATTAAATTTTACAAATGATTCATGAAAACGATTTATTGTCACCCGGAAGTCAAGAAAAATGTTTGCATGAGAACAAGGGCATAAGTTAAAGCAGCACCAGGCAGACGGAATCGTGAAGAAAGCGTTGAAAAAGGCGAGAAGAGCCGTCGATAAGAAAACGAGTTATTATTCCTGTTGCTTCATCCGCACGACCCTGGCAGTTGGGCGGTACGTCGAAGATGCTTCGGAGATTTTCGTTCACCTAAAGAAAACAAATTTAAAACCCATTAAACTTAACACTGCTTGTGCAATAAGTTGAGAGAAATGTGATATGGTGGCTGCCGTGGCTGGTGGTGCCTTCATGAGGTGGCTGTCGAGTTGTCGAATTTTACGCAATAGTGGGGTGCAGAGAAGATGGCGACCCAAAGCAAAAGTTAAGAGTCAAATCCATTTCAACTTTCAATGTTAAAAACTAAAAATTACTGTCTATTTTGCGGTTGGCCAAGAACCTGTATCCGTCTTGAACGACTTGAAGAGCGCGGGTCATGAGATGTTCTTCCGCTCGCAGAAGTCCACCACATCTTGTCAAAAAACATACGCAACTCCACGGGTCCACAGCCTGTCCAGCCCTGAACAAAGAATTATGCTTAAGAGCACCACAAGATGCAATACCTTGACCCAGTTGTCGGGATCAGTCCAGAAGATCGACGCCATTGATGAATTGGCTGAGTCTTCATGACGATCAAGTTGCTAAAAAGCACGCTTTGAATAGTAACAGAAAGAAAAAATCGTGGATGCTCGATTTGCTGAATCCACCGTGCATGCAAGAGGATGCGAGACAAAAAGAACTCCAGTTGAATGTGCCTCGGAAACTGCACATTGTCACGAACGCTGGCTCTTGTAGCGACGGTTGCACTCCTCGTAGATTACCTCGTGGTTGCCGCAAAAGCATCAAGAAGCTTTCAGGGTACCCTAAAATCCACGCTTGATTCTGTCAATGCTAGATTATAATATTATGAAAGGTTAAATATACTCGCTAGGTTCGCTCGCTTAAACCTGAGCGAAGTGATTTCGATATTCTGCTGGCCACGGTCAACATAGTCGTTCAAAGGATGAAATTGGCGTCAGGTGGAAAAGTGGTTTCTCGAAGATGCGCAACAGGCCGGAATACTAAGAGACCAACAACAATAAACACAGTACTTTCAAATAAGCAAATACCTTCCCATATGGATATCCTCACCAAACAACAATTGGTGGAGCTGACCTCAGGGTGCGATGAAAGCAGAGGCATAAAGGTATTCTTTGCTAGGCAACACAACGCTTCATCTTATCTTCTGAAACCTAAACAAAACAATTAAAATGAAGCCTTCTGCAAAGTTTCTTTAATTTCGAATTGTTGTTAAGCAGCAAAAACTCTAATCCTAGAACAAGCCAAAGAAGCCAGAAAAATACCGCGCGTTAAAATTCCAAAACAACGATCAGAGTTTTAAAGAAAGCCAAAAAGCACCCATCAAAAGCACCAATGTCAAACATCCTCCGGCAGTTCAAATGTTGAAAAGGCGGCTCATCGTATCGTCGATGTTGACATTTTTATCTTGAGAAAAGTTCAAACGAAGCTTTTAAGTAGATGAAAAGAAAAGGTGCCATCTAAACAGTTTGAACTTTCTTTCAATACGGATAAATACAAATTATGTTGTTTGAAGATTGTATTTGACACTAATTTTGAATCTACTAATTTGAAGATTGCAACTCTTTAATATCTACTAATTTTAAGTGATTCTATTAGGTCTACCTCTTACCTTATGGTACCCTAAAGTCGCTGGTATAAGTTCATCCGAATATAGAGTTCTGAATTTACATTTAAAGGGCATTTAAAGGGATGGAAAATTTTTCTTCTTTCTTTAATTTTTATTGTTTTTGAGTTTTTTTCGTTTTTCATTGTTTTTTTTGTTTTTTTTAAATTTTTAATTTTACTAACGTTTTTTCATTTTAGATACGATGAGGGAGAAAGTCGTACACCGCCGGGAAACGAAGCTCGAAGCGGTCCAAATTTGCGAGGATATTTGGAACGAACGCGGCTGCGATCGAATTTGAAGTCGCCGAACAGATGGTTAACCGCTGGAAACAAGCTGAGCCGGCACTGGTGACTTCACCAAAAATGAGTCGGGCTTAGCGAGGATTGAAGGCGAAATGACCGGATGTGGAGAAAGATCGATATTGTTTCCAACCGGACAGTCGAAGTAATAGGAAGGGTTATATTTCCAATTGCTTCAGCGGGAAATGAGAAGACAGATTCCACAGTTGTACTCGGAATTCTAGCCGATGGATGGAACTCCCACCGATGCTCATTTTCAAGCACAAGGCTCTTCCTAAAGGAATTTTTCCAGGTGTGATCGTCAGTTTCGAAGCTAAGCACAGAATTCTTTTTTATGTCGCTTTAATTGCTTTGAATTTCTTTTTGTTGAGTTTTTATACATTTTTATTGTTATATAAACTTTTATTATTTTATTCTTGGGGCGCGGGATACTACAGGGTGACAGCCTATCGCACCATTGCTATTTGTTATGTGCATGGATACATCCAGACGACTAGTGTTGAAGAAGACGCTGGAAAGCATCTCTTTCGACCGTCGACGTGGACTTTGGCCGGATGAAGAGGCCAGGAGGGATCCATAAGTCAAAGCACCGGAGAGGAGCAGGGCGGACGCGCCGAGCCGCGCCCGGGGCAACAAATAACAGCATAAAATTGCTATAACCCTCAATAAATTTACTTCTATTATTGTTCTTAAAAAGCAAAAAAGTTATGCAGCAGCGGGGTTCGAACCCTCGACACACCGTCAATTTGCATACAGCCGTCAATTTGCATGCGAAAACCAGACAGAACTTATACTCGCGACTTTAGGGTAACTTATATTTAATGGTTCTATAATTGTGAAGCGATTGGTTCCAAAGAAATTAGTACCGTAAATACTCTAATAGAAGCGCATGCGCTTCTAATTTTTCCCTCCCCCTCTGGGGTGCGCTTCTTTTAGAGTATTTACGGTAGCAACATCAGAATGTGAAACATCGAGCTTAGAGTTCTCAAGAAGCCTAAACCTATAAATTGCATTTATCCTAGTAGGGTTTATGATGCATTACGATGCTAGTAGAAAGTTTTAATTTTATGCCAAAAATCCCAAAAAAGCCAGTTTTGCACCATACCTACTATAAATACTCTAATAGAAGAGCACTGCCCTGGTACAGTCGCGTAGTCGATACCTTTTTCGAAGAAATCTTTTTTTTCAAAGCCTCATCATTTTCTCCAACCACACTTTTTGTTTTGGCGTAATGCTTCTTATTAAACGAATTCTCATTTTTATCCCCAGCTTTTACTTTGATGAATTTTATAGAGCTTAGACTTAACTGCTCTTAAATCTGAAATTCTACAATTTATTTCATTTATATGTAGTAGCTTTAACTTTAGTGTTCGCTTCCTTTCTTATTGCTAATCATTTTAGGTAATTTCAATATGTCGGCCAACAAGAGGAAGAAAAACGATGAAGACGTTTCGGACGATTCGGACGTTTCGGACGATTCGGACGTTTCGGACGAAGAAAGGTATTTAAATAATATAATTTATTGTATATTATGCTATCTTTTTTTAGTGATCGAGTCAATTGGGAGATGGAGTATCTGAAGAAGCTTGAGCAGCTGGCAGAGGCGAACCATAAGCGGGTGGTAATGGCTTCGAAGACTAAAAGCCTAGAATGGCAATTGGTATGTTCTTTAATACCATAAATTCTTGATAAAATGCCAATATTCTAGAAACGTGCCAACAATCAACTCCTTGGATCCAAGTCAATGCTAAGTGCGAGAGGTGTAATCGAGTGGCTTGAGGAGTTGGTTTTTTTTCTGATTACTTTTTTTTTATCTTTTTCAAATATTATAATCTAAGCCCTACTAAAAGCATGCTTCTTTCTAGAGGCTAGGAAAGATTTAACATTTGAGTTGTTTGATTTAACTTGTAAGGCCTTCTTAGCAATTAGATTTAAATTCTATATAATTTTCAATTTCTTAAATTTTAGAAGACATTATCGTGAAATGCCGGATTCTGTCAGACGGGGTGTTCGACACGACCAATGGAAATGGATTTTCGATAACAATCCCACATTCTACAATGAAGTTCGCTCTGCCTGGCCTCGATCCACTGCTCAGCGAGTTGCAAAGATGGTTGACAAGATTCTCTCCAATGCCTGCGCCGATACACAATCATCTGCATCGGGAGAGGGACTTGACATCTCACGCCAGGTTTATTCAACTGAAGAACAGTATGTTCTTACAGCTATTTGTGCTGCCATTCCATGCACTCTTACTATTGAATACTCTTGCTATTGAATAAAATTTTGTTTTGATTTGTCTTAATCTCCCATTGAAGAACCCCATCAAATCATAGCGTTTTGGTTGTTTTTATAATGAAAAAAGAACTTAAACAACGAGACATCAAAAATTCTTAACACTCCTTGTGCAATCAAACAGCCGCGGGTTTTTTTTTCTGTGACTTGCCTATTCAAAGTGTGCTTTTAGCAACTTGACTCGTCATGAAGACCCAGCCAATTCATCAATGGCGTCGATCTTCTCTGGACTGATCCCGACAACTGGGTCAAGGTATTGCATCTTGTGGTGCTCTTAAGTATAATTCTTTGTTCAGGGCTGTTCAGGGCTGCCAATATTCTAGAAACGTGCCAATGATCAACTCCTTGGATCCAAGTCAATGCTAAGCGCGAGAGGTGTAATCGAGTGGCTTGAGGAGTTGGTTTTTTTCTGATTACTTTTTTTTATCTTTTTCAAATATTATAATCTAAGCCCTACTAAAAGCATGCTTCTTTCTAGAGGCTAGGAAAGGTTTAACATTTGAGTTGTTTGATTTAACTTGTAAGGCCTTCTTAGCAATTAGATTTAAATTCTATATAATTTTCAATTTCTTAAATTTTAGAAGAAATGATCGTGAAATGCCGGATTCTGTCAAATGGGGTACTCGACACGACTGGTGGAAATGGATTTTCGAGAATGATCCCATATTCTCCAAGGAAGTTCGATCTTACTCGATCCACTGCTGAGCGAGTTGCAAAGATAGTTGACAAGATTCTCTCCAATGCTTCCGCCGATAGGCAATCATCTGTATCGAGAAAGGGACTTGACATCTCACGCCGGGGTCATTCAACTGAAGAACAATATGTTCTTAAAGCTATTTGTGCTACGATTCCATGCAATCTTACTATTGAATACTCTTGCTATTGGATAAAATGTTGTTTTGATTTGTCTTAATCTCCCATTGAAGAACCCCATCAAATCATAGCGTTTTGGTTGTTTTTATAATGAAAAAAGAACTTAAACAACGAGACATCAAAAATTCTTAACACTCCTTGTGCAATCAAACAGCCGCGGGTTTTTTTTTCTGTGACTTGCCTATTCAAAGTGTGCTTTTAGCAACTTGACTCGTCATGAAGACCCAGCCAATTCATCAATGGCGTCGATCTTCTCTGGACTGATCCCGACAACTGGGTCAAGGTATTGCATCTTGTGGTGCTCTTAAGTATAATTCTTTGTTCAGGGCTGTTCAGGGCTGCCAATATTCTAGAAACGTGCCAATGATCAACTCCTTGGATCCAAGTCAATGCTAAGCGCGAGAGGTGTAATCGAGTGGCTTGAGGAGTTGGTTTTTTTCTGATTACTTTTTTTCTGACAAAAATTGTCCTCTGGATTGCTTGCAGAGCTTCAGCTTTAGATAGTTTCATGATTAGGCCCAGCGATCGTCGAGAAATTGTCAGTTGTTTGGCCATTTTGCGAGCCGATCGATTGGGGTTTCGTTTCACCCGCTTTCTCACTTTGTCAATGTTGGCTTTTGTGGTCACTGAGACATGACGTCCGCGTCCAGGACGCTCCAAATTTGTTCCCAATTCTTTGTATCTCTTGATTGAAGTCGAAACCACCTTCTTTGATACCCCAAACGTTTTGAAATGTTGACGGCGCAAACTCCTTGTCTGTGAAGAGCGATGATCGAGTTTCGATGAGGAAAAATCTTCGCCATTCTAAATTCGAACATAAATTTTTGAGATAAAAGCTTAAATTAATCTAAATAATAAAAACAAAAACATAAAAAAGTATGAAATACTCAATTAACTATACGGTTCGGTGTCCTAAAGTGAACATGAAAGGTTAATTATGGGCCACCCCGTATTACTTCACTAACTGGAGCCCAAGCGATCGACTATTGGGGCATTTTTCAAGGTCAAAACTAGAGCTAAAACCATTTTTAACCACTAAATATTCATTTTCTAACCTAAATTGACTGGTAGAGGCAAAGCAAATTTAAATATTTTGCTCGAATTTGATCCAGAAACGTAATCTGTAGATTAAATTATGCCAGAAGAAGTGTTTTTGGCTTCAAAAATGTTTTGAGAGACCATTTTTAGACCTCCTCCCTATGTCTATCCCTCTCATCAGACTGTATGAGCGCGCACTTTGGAGCCTTGAAACTCATTTGCACAAGCGCTCGTTGTGTTTTTCGGAATCTACGCATAAAACTACGCCAAAAAAAGTATTTTGAAGAAAAAAAAAAGTGGCCCTCAATAAAATGTCAATATTCTAGAAAATGTCAACGATGAACTCCTTCGATCCAAGTCAGAGCTAAGTGCGAGAGGTGTTATCGAGTGGCTTGAAAGGTTTGTGAACTTTTCTGATTACTTTTTCGTCTTTTTCAAATATTATAATCTAAGCCCTACTAAAAACATGCTTCTTTCTAGAGACCAGGAAAGATTTAACATTTGAGTTGTTTGATTTAACTTGTAGGCCTTCTTAGCAATTAGATTTAAATTCTATATGTCGTAGCCGATTAAGGATTTCAGCCGAAGAAGTCTCAGACTTCTTCGGCTAGCCGATTAAGTCTCAGACTTCTTCGGCTAGCCGATTAAGTCTGAAATTTTTTCGCTAGCGAAACCTTCTTCGGCTAGCCGAAGAAGTCTCAAAAATGAAATCTTGAGTTATGTATTGACTCAAGTCAATACCACAAACTCAAGCTCTCTAAAAGGCGCTTAAAAGCTAAAAACGCATTCTAAAGAGTTTTTCAACAAAAATTATTGCCATTTTTCTTTTGCTACACTTTTTATTCTAGAAATGTAAGTTTTATGTATAACCAATGAAATAAGATCATTTTTAAAATTTAAGATTTTTGCTTTTAATAAAACACCAAACAAACTGATCCAGCTAATAGTTAATGCACCACAGGGGCTACTCTTTGTGGGTGTCATAGCTAAAATCATAAGGAGGATCCTTAGGGTCAAAAATTCAAATCTCTAAAAAGCTTGAGGGCTAATAGAGCTCAACTTACCAATTTTCATAAGTTTGGTGTTTTTCTCAAGATGCGGTGCAGTTCGATGCAAGCCAAAAAAGATCTACGCCCTTCAGAAGATCTACGGCCCTCAGAACTGGTTCTGAGTCCAGAAATTTAATTCACTGAGTTCAAAACCTCAATTCTCTGAGCTTAGACCCTGTAATGAAACAAAAATTTGAACAGTTCTGGACTCAGTGAATGCGGTGTAGTGACCAAAAATGGTGTTGCAGCCTAATGGCACGTTCGAAAAAATAGTGCCCCGGGACACTATTAGAGGAAATATGGTATTTTGATGTAACGCTTCTTTTTCATTACGGACAAATTGGAACATCAACTTGATCCTGTTATCTTTGGTTATTTGCTAAGCTTTGTGAAAGTTTTTTAGCTTTTAAGCGCCTTTTAGAGAGCTTGAGTTTGTGGTATTGACTTGAGTCAATACATAACTCAAGATTTCATTTTGGAGACTTCTTCGGCTAGCCGAAGAAGTCTGAGACTCAATCGGCTGAAGCCGAAGAAGGTTTCGCTAGCGAAAAAATTTGAGACTTAATCGGCTAGCCGAAGAAGTCTCAGACTTCTTCGGCTGAAATCCTTAATCGGCTACGACATATATAATTTTCAATTTCTTAAATTTTAGAAGACATTATCGTGAAATGCCGGCTTCTGTCAGACGGGGTACTCGAGACGACCGATGGAAATGGATTTTCGATAACGATCCCACATTCTCCGATGAAGTTAGCTCTTACTTTCCTCGATCCACTGCTGAGCGAGTTGCGAAGATAGTTGACAAGATTCTCTCCAATGTTTCCGCCGATAGACAATCATCTGATGTGAGCGATGGACTTGAGATCTCAGGCCGGGGTTATACAACTGAGCAACAGCATGTTCTTAAAGCAATTTGTGCTACCATTCCATGTAATTGTTCTGCCGAATAAAATTTTGTTTTGCTTTGTCCCAATCCCCCATTGAAAAATCCCATCAAATCATAACGTTTTGGTTGTTTTTATAATGAAAAAAGAACAGAAAAAGAACTTAAACAACGAGGTGTGGAACGAGCAGAAAACACACACACCCCCACCGCCAATCGATTTCTAGTCAGCTGGTGCAACTGCGTCTCTTGCCTTTAAACATGCATTTCGCTCTCTCACACACCTCCACCTTCCCTTATCGAATGACCAAAGAAGAGTGCTGCTTTTTTTTGCGATACTTCTCTATTTTGTGCAGTACATGCTGTCAGTTTGCTACTTGAGCTAAAAATTTCTTGTCTTTGCTGAGCTAGAGAAAATTAAACAACTTTGCGGTTTTGATTTGTCACCTCTTGAACTCTTAAATTCATTGGTTAATTTAGAGTGAGCAGACGCGTAAGACATTGTGCGAATCTTAAATATCAATCATGTTGATTGCTACTTATCTTTTTTGTTCAATTTTTCTTTGAGAGTCTTTCTATTTGGTTGCTTCACGAGCTTTTTTAGGATAATCGCTTGGCCTTACTCCAAAAGGATGTCCTTTTCTAATGGTCCGAATGGACTGCCACCAGGTAAACTAGATGATTGTAAAAATTGTTGAAACTTTTCTTTAGGTGGGGGTACCGGTGGTGGTAGATCTGGGAACAACTTCCATATTCCGACTTCACGAGAAAGCTGCAATTCGCCCGGGCCTTTGCAGGTAAATTTCGGCAAGCATCGCACTTTGTTCAAAAAAGATTTAGAACTTGGAAATAATTGTATGGTGGCGTGCTTACTTTTGAATTCGATTTCATAACGATTATTTTTAGGGAATCGCTACTCCGCAGACGCAAAAGAGCATGGCTCGCGTTCAAGGAAGCGCTCCTGCGGGTAATTTTTAAACTTTAGGAACGGCCATCACTTTATAATTAATCAATGATAAGGCGAAAGCTTACCTAGAGGTTCTGGAGTGGCAGATATGGACGTAATATTGTATAGTTCATTAACGTCATGCTTTAAAGTGCATCTTTTTACTTTAACTCTAAAATTTCCATTAGCTGGCGTTTTCATTTTCTTTTCTAAACTCGTCCAGGACGGTTCTATATTTTTTATTCGCTAGACATGCCTAAATCGCTCCGGAATTTGTCAAAAGTTGGCAAGCTAGTGAGAGAAGTATTTTGGAATCTAAAGAAGTTGTTTAGTTGCCGTTGCCAATCCCACGACTGGTTCTTCCACACAAAGTGTGGCACCTGTGACAGCAGTTGGACCAACGGATTCGCTGGATTGTAGTGCAGAGGTAAGTCAATTTGTTTATTAACCGTTTTATTCTGTTTATCTAGGGTTTTATCTGCCTTTGAAGCAGAAAACTTTATTTACAGGTATAAGAAACTTTCACGAACAAAGCACTGGAGTATTTAGGCTTGAATTGTCAACTAATCGTCGTCGCCTTGTATGGGAAGCCACGCCGCGGTCCATTCATGAGGGAGTAGCGCACGCCATTTCACAATCCGATTGTCTTGCTTTTGATACATCAACCGCTCAACTTTTTGCCGAAAACGGAAACTTGGGTTTGTTTTTACATCTTTTGACAAGCTTAGGTTGTAGATTTTGTACAGAGTTTCTCAAATTTCCATTACTTTGCTACTTTGAAAGAGAAAATACAGAAATTCATCCCTTAAAGGATTAAAGACTCGTTTATCACCTAGTATTTCTAGGAATAAACGTGACAATTACACAAAACCCTGATGATCGATTCTTGCTTCTTTGCGAAAGCTTTCCGGCGAGAGTTCACAAACCAGCTTCTACTCATCAAACTGACCAATTACACATTAATAGCTGCTATCTATTTTGTTTTGGCTAAATTTCAAAACATCTTGTCGAACAACTCCAAAAATATTGTTCTTTTTCATTTGTTAATGAGATGGGGTTACCTAGTAGGTCAATCTAAATCTTTCCGCAACTTATTGTGCATAAATATGTACTTACCTACTTTTCGTGCCAATTTTCTCGAATTTGATCTGGTTTTAAATGGTATGCCTTCATCGTTTTCGCTGATTACGTTCACTACAGAATTTTATTTCGTTTTTTTTCTTGTAAGTTTGTGACATTGTTAAACTGTGTTCATTAAATAAATTGTGACTAACGTTGAAAAAAAGATAAAACACCATATGTTAGGTTTAAAGCGAAAAGAAATTAATACCGTATATACTCTAATAGAAGCGCATGCGCTTCTAATTTTTCCCTCCCCCTCTGGGGTGCGCTTCTACATATTAGAGTATTTACGGTAGCAACATCAGAATGTGAAAAATCGAGCTTAGAGTTCTCAAGAAGCCTAAACGTATAAATTGCATTTATCCTAGTAGGGTTTATCATGCATTACGATGCTAGTAGAAAGTTTTAATTTTATGCCAAAAATCCCAAAAAACCAGTTTTGCACCATACCTACCATAAATGCTCTAATAGAAGAGCACTGCCCTGGTACAGTCGCGTAGTCGATACTTTTTTCGAAGAAATCTTTTTTTCAAAGCCTCATCATTTTTTCCAACCACACTTTTGTTTTGTTTTGGCGTAATGCTTCTTATTAAATAAATCATCATTTTTATCCCTAGCTTTTACTTTGATGAATTTTATAGAGCTTAGCAGTTGCTCTTAAATGCTCTTAAATCTGGAATTTCTACCATTTATTTCATCTATGTGTAGTAACTTTAACTTTAGTGTTCGCTCCCTTTCTTATTGCTAATCATTTTAGGTAATTTCAATATGTCGTCCAAGAGGAAGAAAAACGAGAATTCGGACGAAGAAAGGTATTGAAATAATATAATTTATTGTATATTATGCTATCTTTTTTTAGTGATCGAGTCAAGTGTCTGGAGACGGATGTGCAGCTGAAAGAGGTGAACGAAGAGCTGGTGGAAATAGCTGCGAAGAATAGAAGGCTAGAAATGCAATTGGTATGCTCTTTAATACTATAAATTTAATACTGGGGTACTATCCTAATTGGGGGACACTTTTTTTTCTTCAAAAGCACTTTTTCTGGGGTAATTTTATGCGCAGATTCCAAAAAAGACAATAAGAGGAAAAAGCCATTTGAAGCCGAGTTTCTGGGCTCCAAACGGCGCGCTTGTATATTGTACAGGGTGGCGCATAATTACGGTAACTCCGTATCATCAGGCTGTAGAGCCAGAAATCAAAAATAAATACTTTTTCGATATGACAATCTATTCTTTGGAATATAACAAATAAAGAACTATTTGATTTCAAACTTAGCTTAGCTCCCTTGGCTTTGACGCATTCACCGAGAAGCTTGGGGAAGGCGTCGACCGTAGCGCCCAAATAGGGTACATCAAGCCCATTCCATGTTTTTTTTCAACGCATTCTTCAAAGAATTCAACATGGAATGTGGTTTTGATCAGGCCTTTGATTCAAGAACACTCCAGACAGAAAAATCAAGCGGATTAAGATCCGGTGATGATGGTGGCCATTGATTTAAGTTGATGAACTCGGGACAGTTGTTCTTGAGCCAAGTTTGCACCGTCTTGCTGAAATGTCCACGGCTTGGTCTTGAAGTGTCCTTGAGCCCAGGGAAGAACTTTTATCTTGAGAATGTCCAAATAGTTTTTTTTTGCATTGATCGTAATTCCAGCGGGGACAAAGATTCGTGGGGTCTTGCCATCAGCCGTGATACCCGCAAACACCATGAGAGATTGAGGGTGCCCGGTGCGAGAAACGACGTTATCGGGCTTAGAAATCGAGTAAATCCGATCATTTTGCTTATTGAGAAACTGCTCGACAGTAAAAACCTTCTCATCTGAACAAAATCGGTGTCTTCCAGCTTGAAACCGTCGCAAAAGCGCTTTCAATCGAACTTTTCTCTTCATCTTTGCCGCGTCTGACAAAAATTGTCCTCTGGATTGCTTGCAGAGCTTCAGCTTTAGATAGTTTCATGATTAGGCCCAGCGATCGTCGAGAAATTGTCAGTTGTTTGGCCATTTTGCGAGCCGATCGATTGGGGTTTCGTTTCACCCGCTTTCTCACTTTGTCAATGTTGGCTTTTGTGGTCACTGAGACATGACGTCCGCGTCCAGGACGCTCCAAATTTGTTCCCAATTCTTTGTATCTCTTGATTGAAGTCGAAACCACCTTCTTTGATACCCCAAACGTTTTGAAATGTTGACGGCGCAAACTCCTTGTCTGTGAAGAGCGATGATCGAGTTTCGATGAGGAAAAATCTTCGCCATTCTAAATTCGAACATAAATTTTTGAGATAAAAGCTTAAATTAATCTAAATAATAAAAACAAAAACATAAAAAGTATGAAATACTCAATTAACTATACGGTTCGGTGTCCTAAAGTGAACATGAAAGGTTAATTATGGGCCACCCCGTATTACTTCACTAACTGGAGCCCAAGCGATCGACTATTGGGGCATTTTTCAAGGTCAAAACTAGAGCTAAAACCATTTTTAACCACTAAATATTCATTTTCTAACTTAAATTGACTGGTAGAGGCAAAGCAAATTTAAATATTTTGCTCGAATTTGATCAGAAACGTAATCTGTAGATTAAATTATGCCAGAAGAAGTGTTTTTGGCTTCAAAAAATGTTTTGAGAGACCATTTTTAGACCTCCTCCCTATGTCTATCCCTCTCATCAGACTGTATGAGCGCGCACTTTGGAGCCTTGAAACTCATTTGCACAAGCGCTCGTTGTGTTTTTCGGAATCTACGCATAAAACTACGCCAAAAAAAGTATTTTGAAGAAAAAAAAAGTGGCCCTCCAATAAAATGTCAATATTCTAGAAAAATGTCAACGATGAACTCCTTCGATCCAAGTCAGAGCTAAGTGCGAGAGGTGTTATCGAGTGGCTTGAAAGGTTTGTGAACTTTTCTGATTACTTTTTCGTCTTTTTCAAATATTATAATCTAAGCCCTACTAAAAACATGCTTCTTTCTAGAGACCAGGAAAGATTTAACATTTGAGTTGTTTGATTTAACTTGTAGGCCTTCTTAGCAATTAGATTTAAATTCTATATGTCGTAGCCGATTAAGGATTTCAGCCGAAGAAGTCTCAGACTTCTTCGGCTAGCCGATTAAGTCTCAGACTTCTTCGGCTAGCCGATTAAGTCTGAAATTTTTTCGCTAGCGAAACCTTCTTCGGCTAGCCGAAGAAGTCTCAAAAATGAAATCTTGAGTTATGTATTGACTCAAGTCAATACCACAAACTCAAGCTCTCTAAAAGGCGCTTAAAAGCTAAAAACGCATTCTAAAGAGTTTTTCAACAAAAATTATTGCCATTTTTCTTTTGCTACACTTTTTATTCTAGAAATGTAAGTTTTTATGTATAACCAATGAAATAAAGATCATTTTTAAAATTTAAGATTTTTGCTTTTAATAAAACACCAAACAAACTGATCCAGCTAATAGTTAATGCACCACAGGGGCTACTCTTTGTGGGTGTCATAGCTAAAATCATAAGGAGGATCCTTAGGGTCAAAAAATTCAAATCTCTAAAAGCTTGAGGGCTAATAGAGCTCAACTTACCAATTTTCATAAGTTTGGTGTTTTTCTCAAGATGCGGTGCAGTTCGATGCAAGCCAAAAAGATCTACGCCCTTCAGAAGATCTACGGCCCTCAGAACTGGTTCTGAGTCCAGAAATTTAATTCACTGAGTTCAAAACCTCAATTCTCTGAGCTTAGACCCTGTAATGAAACAAAAATTTGAACAGTTCTGGACTCAGTGAATGCGGTGTAGTGACCAAAAAATGGTGTTGCAGCCTAATGGCACGTTCGAAAAAATAGTGCCCCGGGACACTATTAGAGGAAATATGGTATTTTGATGTAACGCTTCTTTTTCATTACGGACAAATTGGAACATCAACTTGATCCTGTTATCTTTGGTTATTTGCTAAGCTTTGTGAAAGTTTTTAGCTTTTAAGCGCCTTTTAGAGAGCTTGAGTTTGTGGTATTGACTTGAGTCAATACATAACTCAAGATTTCATTTTTGAGACTTCTTCGGCTAGCCGAAGAAGTCTGAGACTTAATCGGCTAGCCGAAGAAGGTTTCGCTAGCGAAAAAATTTGAGACTTAATCGGCTAGCCGAAGAAGTCTCAGACTTCTTCGGCTGAAATCCTTAATCGGCTACGACATATATAATTTTCAATTTCTTAAATTTTAGAAGACATTATCGTGAAATGCCGGCTTCTGTCAGACGGGGTACTCGAGACGACCGATGGAAATGGATTTTCGATAACGATCCCACATTCTCCGATGAAGTTAGCTCTTACTTTCCTCGATCCACTGCTGAGCGAGTTGCGAAGATAGTTGACAAGATTCTCTCCAATGTTTCCGCCGATAGACAATCATCTGATGTGAGCGATGGACTTGAGATCTCAGGCCGGGGTTATACAACTGAGCAACAGCATGTTCTTAAAGCAATTTGTGCTACCATTCCATGTAATTGTTCTGCCGAATAAAATTTTGTTTTGCTTTGTCCCAATCCCCCATTGAAAAATCCCATCAAATCATAGCATTTTGGGTGTTTTTATAATGAAAATAAATCGGAAAAAGAAGTTAAACAACGAGACGTGAAAATTGGGGGAATGGGCTGCCCTAGAAATGGTACTTATGTACTACTCACACTATTCACAATAAACGAAACAGATAGTGATTGTTGCATTTGTTTAATATGAATCTCATTATGAACCAACAATAAGAAATGTAAAAGGAACTAGAGTAAAAATAAGCGCCTATTTGTAGTGAAAATATACTTTGGATAAATCTTTGGACACTTTTCTGCTAGCGCTTATAAATGAATTGACCTACAATTGGCTCTAAATTGAAAATATTTGTTATTCATTTTTCTATCTCTTGAAGACACAATTTAGGTCCATTTCGACGCAAATTCGAGTGCAAAAACTGTTTTTTGGCGAAAATTTGGTTATCCACTTAACTTTTAAGGAAAAGAGGCATCCAATTGAACGTGTCTTGGAAACATTGCCACAAACGCTGACTCTTGTAGCGACGATTGCACTCCTCATCGAAACCGTAAACGCGATTGATAGACGGGCAGGCATGATTGCCGCGAAGCATGAAGAAGCTTTCAGGGTACCTAAATTAAAGAAGTATGCTTGATCGTAATAATCATAAAGATAATATGCACTTGATTTTGTAGCAAACCTGAGCGAAATGATATTTCGATATTCTGCTGGCCACGGTCAACATAGTCGCCCAAAAAGATGAAATTGGCGTCAGGTGGAAAAGTGATCTTCTCGAAGATGCGCAAGAGATCGGAATACTAAAAAGCAACCACAATAAACACAGTACTTTCAAATAAGCATACCTGTCCATGGATATCCTCGCAAACAACAATTGGTGGCCCAACTTCGGCGAGTTATGGTTGATACATAAAGACATTCTTTGCTAGGCAACACAGCGACTCCTTGTCCTCTGAAACCTAAACAAAACAATTAAAATGAAGCCTTCTGCAAAGTTTCTTTAATTTCGAATTGTTGTTAAGCAACAAAACTCGTCCTAGAACAAGCCAAAGAAGCCAGAAAAATATCGCGCGTTAAAATTCCAAAACAACGACCGCTCGATTCGCTCAATTTTCTAGCAAAACATGAGATTTTCAGCGAGATGGTTTCGATCTTCTGCCAGCCACGATCGACATAGTCGCCCAAGATGAAATTGGCATTAGATGGAAAAGTGGTTTTCTCGAAGATGCGCAACAGGTCGGAATACTAAACACCAATAACAATAAACACATTCTCTCCAATGCTTCCGCCGATACTGTCCTAGTTTTTCCTAGAAATGGTACCTATATACTATCAATCACAATAAATAAAAGAAACAGATAGTGATTGTTGCATTTATTTAATATGGATCTCATTATGAACCAGCAATAAGAAATGTGAAAACCTAGAGTAAAAATGAGCGCCTTTTTGTAGTGAAAAAAATGACAACAGAAAGAGCAATGGTTGTTTTGCAATGTGGTCAATGAGGCACTTGAAGCCACTAGTTTACTTTGCTTCGGGATCTTTCTTGGCTTCCTAAAAAGCACAATATACTTTAATTTAACTTTTTCAAAGAAATTCGTGATATTAGTTTCTTTGGAAATAAATCTTTGGACACTTTTTTTCTGCTAGCGTTTATAAATGACAAATTCACCAATTGCCCTACAATTGGTTCTAAATTGAAAATATTTATTATTCTTTTTATTTATGGCAAATAAAAGCGGTAAAACTAGAAGTAAATGCGCATATTTCTCAAAAAAAGTAATTAAAAATAGTAAAGGAGAGTCGAAATATGGGGGTGAAAAGAAAAAAGGACACTTTCAAAAAGTGTCCCCCTTTTTCTTCTGACCCTCAGATCTCGGCCACACTTGGGTTTTTTGAACTACTTTTTTTTTGTGAAGTATGCCCATACAATTTTAGTTTTACTGTTTTTAATTGGAGAATGGATTTCTCGGAGGAATCCCAGAATATTCCAACTAGAACCTACGGGGACACTTGCGGGGAAGGGGAAGGGAAATTAGCCATTTCATATGCATTGATCCAAGATTTGACTTTCATGGTTTTTGGTTTGAACTGGATTTGGTCTTAAAATTTTGTAGAGGCCTGGAATAGCTGTCATGGCATGACCTGGCCGTTAAGTTTCAGGTATTGGTGAAATCTTACTTTGCCCTTGATCACTTTTGTTTTATTCAGCTCCTTCGAAAGATAATTGAAGCAGTTGATCTTGAACTTGTTTCCTCTTAAAGAAATTCACAAATCAAAATATCCCATTGTACTTGATTTTTCCGAGATTTTAGCTCTTTTTGTTTCTTGAGACTGACCTAGTCTCTCCTTTTTCTTTTCGCTGAATATCTTTTCCTTTCCCATTTTCTCTCATTTCTCTTCACCGTCAAAGCTGATCATTTTTCTTTCAAAGGCTTCTCTTTTCATTCGATTCGTTTTTTGGAGGTTCTTCAGTCGTTTTTGTAGCTTTTTGTGAAAACAATTCTTAAAATTTTTCAACAGAAATCTAACTTTTATGTATACTTTGTGCTTTCTAAAACCTTTCTGGTGTACTGAAACTTTCAGAACTTGGGCAAAATGACATCAAAATCAAAAGGCGATCAAATACAGCCGACTCTGTTCGTTCAACTACTTAACAGGTGATTAAATTTCTAGATTTTTTTATGATTTCCAAATTTTTGTTTAGATTTTTTGACCTTTGGGCACCATTTTTGGTTAAACACGATGTGAAGATATTGGTCGTGAGTTTTTCAAAATTTATGCTTTACTTTGATCTTCCCTATAAACGCACCCTTTCTAGCGCATTGAATTCTTTGTTTTCCGTAGCGACAACTCGTGGAAAATAAGGAATTGAGTGCATTAGAAGGGGTGTATTTACAGATTTTGAGCACAAAGTACAGAGCTGTTCTTTTTATTGAAATTTGTTGATCTTGGGTGTATTTTGTGCTTAAAAAGTGTAAACACATCTTTTCTCATGCACTGATTTCTTCAGTTTTCTTGCAGTAACGAGTTGACACTACAAGGAAAATGGGGAATCGAGCGTGCGAGGAAGAGTGTGTTTACAAAGTTGTGCACAAAATACACAAAGGCTTAACACAATCTAATGCTAATCTGGGTGTCTTATCAAGTAAAACTGTAAGCAAAAAGGATTCTCGTGGGGTACTGTAGCTGTTTGAGAGTACGGTAGCTTGGTTAAAGCTAATAGGGAAAGGCATAAACTTCCCGTAAGCTTTCGATTCCGGATCACTATTAGGACATCTTACTAAATCGAGTATGGAGCTTCATAATCTGAAATCAAAATCTGCCAAATAAGGTCGCAGACGCGTAAAAATAGAATTGAAGCTTTAAAGGACGCTTTTCAATCACTAGAGTATCGGCGCCGGTGACCTAGTGGATAGTGGGACGGCCACTCGATAGTAAGAGTGCGGTTCGGTCCCGCTCTTGGTTTTTGGTTTTTTTTCTTTAGATGTAATACTTTACCTTGTAACTATTCAATATAACAAAGCAAAATGTGAAATGTTAACATATATAAAACGAGATCACGAAGCATCCAAAACAATAAAAATTTTCACAATGCGAACATCTGATAAAAGCAAAGTGCGTTCGTTTTTTTCAAATTACGATTTACATTACAATGAGCAATGAACGGGTAAAAACCTGCAAAGTATTACATTTAAAGACAAAAAAAACCAAAAACCAAAAGCGGGACCGAACCCCGATCTACTACCGAGAGGCCATCCCAATATCCACTAGGCCACCGGTGCCGTTAGATTGAAAAGATAGATTCTAGTGATTGAAAAGCGCCCTTTAAGCTTATCTTCGAAATTTCAATTGAATTTTTACGCGTTTGCAAGTTTATTTGGCAGCTTTTGATTTCAGATTATAAATCTCCATACTCGATTTAGTAAGATGTCCTAAGAGTGGTCCGGAATCGATTAGCTCACGGAAAGTTTAAACCTTTCCCTAGTAAGATCTTTAGCACAAATCCCGTTCTCCGTTTTTTACTCCCAATTTTCATCTTATCCCAAAATTTCATTTCCATTGTTTCCTTGATAAAGAAAAATTTTTTCCTTTCTCGAGTTTTGATTGATGCTTTTTTCACACGATGAAAATGTTGCACTCGGAGGAGACAAAAAATAAGAAAACAAGTGATAAAATAGAGATATTAAGCTAAATATCAATTACTCTATTTTTATCAAAATTTTAGATAATTGTTCACCTTTTCTTTCTCATTTTCCCTCAGCTTTTCGATCCACGAAAAACTCGGAATCCGTTTCAAATGGATGCACAATGAATGATCATAAAATTAGCGGGAAAATGAAGTGATTCAATGGAAAGGGTTTATCGAGTTTTCTAAAAGGCATCAAATTACAGTAAACCTGGAAATTCGAGCTTTTTTAGTTGCTCGATAGTTGCTTTTTTTGAATCGGATAGCTTTTGAATCGGATCCTTTTTTGTTAAAATTTCAACTATAAGGTATATCTTTAAAATTTGTATACCTAACTGTGTACTTTATCTCTATAAGTGCAAAGGATATTCAATTATCCGCTTCATCCCACATTTCAAAGTCGATATGCAAAATTATTGTAGCTCTTGTCGATTAAAAAGGTTGAATGTCAAAGCTATTTAATACTCACACAGGAGCTCGAGCTTATAAAGAAACACTTGGGAAATTCAAGGATAGGTCAATCTTTAACTACAGTATTTAATTTGGCTTAGATAGCGTACAATTCTTTTTGTTACCTATAGAAGAACTGTGTCAATTGATAGCTTCCCTCCGTTCCCACAGCTCTATTGAGCAAAACAAGAACTACAAAGAAAAAAGAGACAACTCTTGACTGTTACTTGGGAATGTTGAGAAGTTTTGACTGTAGCCTCATAATTCTTGTGCTAACAATAGGAATGATTGGATAAGAGTTGAAAAATTGACCAGTTTTGTAACTCTTATAGCTAGCCGTTGGGGTAGGAGTTTGAAATTAAATTGGGTAAAGAAGCTCGATCGAGAATGTTTATAGCTCATAACCAGCTCGGTCGCTTCGAAAAGACGACCAGCTCGGTCGTCTTTTCGAAGTGCACTACTTATTAACAAGAAAGCTACTATCAATGCCAAGTCCACCAAGGCACTGGCTTTATTAGAAACTCGATAACCGGATTGATCGGTGGAGTGAATGTTTTTTTGTTTGATGATGGGAATCCCTCAAGGCTTGTCTCTTCTTTTTCCCCTTTTCCCATTCCCTCTTAAAAGGGTGAAGTTACGTGTTGATCGGCTTTCGATTTTCACCTTTCCATTTTTTTTCCGACAATCGTTTCTCTCATCCTTTTCCCAACCCATTTCCGGCCTTTTCTTTTCCCTTTAGGGCAAAAGATATCGATGATTGGATGACTATTGAGTAAATATTGAAACCATGATAGAACAGGTCTCTAAGCACGAGAAATTTGCATAAAGGAATTGAAAATTGCAATATGTTTCCGAAAAGTTAAATGCATAAAAGTAAAAGTCAAATTTCAAAACTTTTAACTTAAACCAATTAAATCCGGGTTCCAGCTGATAGACTCAAATTTGATTGTATTTTTGATACAAATCCTACATCCCGTTAAACCATTGTTTCTCCTAAAAATCAGCTAAACTGGGAGAACATTGCTTTCCATTCAAAAGTTGCCTTGAACGATGTTTTAGTGATCTAAACCTGATCCAAGCCAAGGGTCAAAGCCCTTCAAACTTTCAAGTTCATTCATCTTTTCTATAGAAAAACCAGACTCTGTTCGCTTTGTGACATCAAATTAGCACCTTTTCAAGCAAAAATCTTTCTCAAAAAAAAGGCGAAAAGGATATTCTGAGCTAAAAGCTTTGAGTAGACACCAATTTTGATGAAAAGATTCCGAAAAAAAACAGGGATTTCTTGTTCTTGAAATTAGGGTAATCCACCTGATCGCTGAATGACGTCAAAAGGAAAATTTGTTTTCGAATTTAGATCAAAAAAGGTTTTGGATTGAATTTGAAATAAAAATAACCGTTAAAAGCCATTTTGAATTGAAGTCAAATCTCTTTTTCAGCTTCTTCTCATCTTTTCCCTTGTCACCTCTATCAAAATCCCGTTCACAAAGCAGCAAGATGACATTCGGACAGGTAAAGATCTCAAGAAAGTTGTTGAATAAGTTTAAGAATTCGATTTTTGTACAAATTTAGCAAGAAATTTGATCTAAAATCTATACAGGGTGCGGCAAAAGTTTGGAGCCGCAGGTGTTCGTAGGTGTTACGGCAGTTGGTGGTCGACCACTTCGAGGGCGATCCTTGTTGTTCTTTATCGCCTTGTAGCGTTTAATTGCTTTGTTGACGGTGCTTTTTGGATATTTCGTGATTTTTACAAGCTCCGGGCTATTTTTTCCGCCTTGGTATAATCCCAGAATCACATCGCGTCGTTTTTTGGCGTCCATTCTTACGAATTTTCTCCTAAAAAGAAATTTTTTGTAACAAATCACCTTAACTATACTCGCAAAAGGGGGGAAAAGTATACGAGACACAAAAAAAAGCGTGAGCTAAATTTTCCGCAATGTTTTCATAGCGGCTCCGAACTTTTGCCGCACCCTGTATAAATTATAGTTTTTATCGCAGAATGTAGTTGGAAAGCTTAAAAAGTAGTGGAAAGTATCATGAAAATGAGCAAAGTGGAGCCTTGATCAGTAATTCTTTACTCGTTGAGTCTCTCAAATCAACAAAATGAAGCCTGTGGATTTGACTCAAAATATTGAAGGCTTGATTCTAGGATAGATCCATTTTCGTTCACCCAATAGTATTTCAGGTTGGTGCCCAGAAGGTGCCCGAGCGGTGACCGAGATGAAACAATACACAAGGTTGGGGCGGCTTTTTATGGAAACAAATCAATCTGCATCAAACTTTAAAAAAAACCAATAATCTAGCCGGTGGGATTGAACCCTTGGCCCTAAGATATAGGGCTTTTAGCCAGTGGGCCATGAAGGGATTTAGATATCTCGGCAAACACCCGGCCGACCCAATCGCCGCAATCGTTTTCATCGAGGCGCAAGACGGAGGATCGATGCTGAGAGTGGCACATTTGAAAGAATGTACGGAATTTTACAGTAAACAGTCATTTTTTTTGATATAAATAGCAATTTTTGAAGAAATAAATAGCAATTTTTGAAGCTAGAGAAACACTTAACGAATAGGTGCAAAAAGATAACTTTTCACCTAGTCATCTTTTGATAGAGATCCGTTCTCTCTGCGTGCACGTAATCGCCTCGATCTGACACATTGGAAGAGCCTTTCAATTCAGACTTTTTCACGTTACTTACCCTTCAAATTGCTAGAATAGGAGACTTACTCAAATGAAAGTACTGTATCATTGTACTTATTCAAATGAAAGTACTGTATCATCTATTGTATTGCAAAATTGTTCAGCTTTATCTCTCTTGGACGAACTCTCTCAAGCGGTTTCATTTCGGAATCGAACTTTCGACGATTTATGCGGCTCAATGTGCGCTATTAATGATCCGTTGAGGCTGCTTTATGTGAGTAAAAACAAACTGAAATGAGCATTACGGTAGAATGGGCTGTTGTATAACACAAACGATTTCAGAACACAGTTCTTATGAGTCCAGCGGCGAATGAAACAGGTGCCACTCTGAAAGAGGGAATCGCTTTCCCGACAATGACAATTCTCGGGAAAGAGATCGATTTGAGTCCACATTTGTTCGGAGTTCAGTTAAACGAAGAGAAAGGTAACCAATTTTGACATCTTAATCTTGTTCTGATGCTCTCAAAAAAGTGTAAACATTGTCGTTGCGCTTCAAACTTAATAAATCTTGTATCAATTCTAGCGCTGATTTTCGCGAAAGTAGCTGCTTTCACTTTGCAAACGGGGAAACCACAAGATTGGACACGGGAAGATGTGATGGAATATGAGAGAAGATTGTACACACATACGCATAAGTGAGAGCTAAATTTGTCTAATAATCAAATGAATTTGATCCTTCAGAAACTTCCGCACCTCGCTTATCAACCCAAGATGTCTCTCGTTGACGTTTGCCACTGATGAGGTGAGAACAATCACTGCGTACTGTTTAAATTATAGCTTTCCCTTGTTATTTTCAGATCGTGCGAACTGGAGAGGCAATCTTTCCCTATATTGGTGTCGGTTTTATGATTATGGCCACATTCGCCGTGTTGAGCGTTTGGTGGGGATGCAGAAAATTTCAACAGGTTAGCAGGATTGGCAGACATTGGCTATCTAACTTTAAGCTCAAATATCTTTGTGTTGGGTTGTTCAATTGAAATCTTCTTGGTTTCATTAGATGCGCCAAGTCTTTCTCTATCGATTGCTACAAAAACTATTTCAATTGGACATCCCAACACCAAGAAATTTGAGCTCAAAGTTGGATTTTCAATGGGAAAAGGGGCGGGGCCAATCAAATGTCCCACAATCGGACTGTTCGACGATGAAACTCAAATATCTAAATTCAGTGGAGCTTCACTCGAGCTCAGCTGGCTATATTAGCTTGTGTTTGTCCTTTGTTGGCCACTTCTTCAGCACTTGGCCTTCTCTTTTGGTTGGGTTTTCGATTCGGAACGATCCTTGCCGTCACCCCATTTCTCGTCTTGGCTATCGGTGAGTTTTCATAATTTGAACTCAAAATAGAAACACACCCTTTCTAGTGCACTTGTTCATTCAATTGTCTCGAATTTTCAAGAGTTCTAAACGTCTTGTAAAAGAAAATTTGGTGATTAAGTGCGATAGGAAGGATGTGTTTAGAATTTGACCACAAAGTGCACTAGAAAGGAAGCTGACAACTACTGTAGAGGTTTCTAGATGAAATCTCTAGATGTAAAAGAGAATTCAATTATTGAACTAAATACTTTTAGGTGTGGATGACGCTTTCCTTCAACTTCAATCATGGGCTCGTTTACTCGAAGAGCTACCTGATCAGCCAAAAAGTGAACGGATGAGGTTGATGCTGCATGATATTGGTGAGAATGAGGAAATTGGATCTTATTAATCTGTAGAGTATCTATTAAAGAATATTAAACTTCTCAGGTCCATCGATAACGATCACTTCACTGACGAATTTCTTCGCGTTTCTTGTCGGATATTTCACACCGACTCCTGAGATTCAACTCTTTTGCATTGGGAATGCGGTGGCGATCATTCTCGATTATCTGTATCAGGTATAACTTCAATTGGGTAAATAAATCAATCTAATATACCCAGAGGAGCGTCGCGTAGTCGTTGTTTTGACAGATTTTCTTCGGGTTTTTTTTCTAAAAAAAGAGAAATGTGACGGCCATTTAAAAAAAACTCGAACAAAATCGGTCCAGAGAAAAAAATGTTTTAATGCTGGAAAAACAACGACTACGTGATGCTTCTCTGAACAATACTATTAAGAAAAATACGGTATTTTAGATCTCAATGTATTGTTGTATGATCTCAATCGGTGCGAGGATGGACGAGAAAAACAGGGAACCGACGAAGGCACCAGCAAAGTTGGCCACACAAAAGCATCCAGTTGTAGATGAGGTCAGATTTCGTTTCATTCGTTTAACTCGTGTAATTTTTGGTATACTCGGTGAATTTCGAATTTCTATCGGCAAATTTTCAGCTGAAAGACTCTCATTTCATCGTGGCTTACTCGAGATGGATCGCCTCTCCATTCACGACGATTTTCTTCCTCTTCGGGCTTGTTGCTTATTGGTTTGTAATTGAAATTTTGTTACTATAGAAATATTGATGGAAATATTGATTTGATTGATTTGGTTGATTGATTGATTGATTGATTGAACGATTGAACTATTGATTGAACGTCATAAAACCTTGAATATTGAAATATGAAAAAAGGCTTGCTGAAAATTGACTTTAGTTATTGAATTCTAGAAATCAGTGGCCCAGCTTTAATTGTTTGAAAAGTTTGGAAAGTCGAGATTTTTCCTAAATCTTAATTTTAGTCTAAACTTGAATAGAATCGTTATGTCAACAATTTTTTGATAATCTAATCCTATTCTTTGTTTAGGTACGTGACGGCTAAAGGAGCGCTACAGATGTCGGTGATTTTGTCATCGAAAAGTTTAGTCATCGATGGATCCGAGTTGATCGCGGTTGGTTTGGATTCAGTTGTTAGGGTGGTGCAAAAGAAACTATTAGGGTGGTGCAAAAGAAACTGCCGATGGGTATTAGCTCTCATTTATCAGAAATGAGCGATGCTAACGGCATTAGTTTTTTTATTTTTTGTTCGCATATTTTTTTGGTATTTATTTCGACATTTGAATTTTTTGGTTGTTGTTTATTTTATTTTAAAATGCTTATATTTTTTATTTAGATCATGTTCGAGCAAAAGTTTGTGCTACGAGCAGCATTACTGTTTAACTTCAAAATTGGAAAGTCTGCTACCGTCTGCTACCGTCTGCTACCCTCTGCTACCGTCTGCTGCCGTCTGCTGCTGTCTGCTGCCGTTTGCTGCTGTATGCTGCCGTCTGCTGCTGTCTGCTGCCGAATCGCATCGTTCTCTCTGTGCTGCTTTCGGAGATGGCAGTTTGTCTCTCAGGCAGACTTGGTTTCAACGATTCCGAGAGGGAGACGAGGCTTTGGAAGATTACGAGCACGGTTCGAGGCCAGAAGTCGTGAACGAAGCCAAGCTGAGGGACGTTATTCAGGCCGATCCATGCCAATCTGCTCGAGATCTTGCGAAAATATTCCATTGCGATCATGTCACCATCGAACGCCATCTTTTTTTTTAATTTACCGTCAAATCGGCAGCTTCTTTGCACCACCCTAATAGATTCTCATTTCAATGCAATTGTTAAACCAATACAAATCATTTCAGATAGAAAACCTCCGAGAACAATGGGTGCTCCCAAACTACACGACGGTCATCGTTTTGGTGAATCGAGTAAGTGAATTGGATAAAAATTTAGACTCATACTTTGTGTTTACTGCTTTTTTAAAAAATGCCAGATTATGCCAGATGACTTGCGTTTGCGAAAGTGCAGTATTTTCAGGCTGGCAACCTCTCATCACCGGATCGTTTACAAATGGCTGATAACTTGATCTCAACATTCGAGTCATTTCCTGAGGCGATCGGCCCGGAAACAACACATTATTGGATGAGAGATTATCGGATATTTCAAGTAAAAATACTTTTAAAAACATACATTTATTCACTAATAATGTGGTCAAACAATACACAACCACAACCCCTAAGCTCTATAGAAAGAAAAGAGCAATATATATGGAAAAGAAAGTACTAATAGTCTGCCCCGGATTGAACCGTTGCCCTTCTGTCTAAGATACAGGTCTCTTAGCCAGTCGACCATGAGGGAAGCTTGTTTTAAAGATAAGAAAACTTTAGGAAAGTGCTAACGAGGAATTCTTGGGAGAAGAGGAGTTTGAGGGGAATTTGATGGTGAAAGATCCGTTCACGAGAGAAGCGATGAAGGGATTCCTGGAATGGCCTGAGTTCAGACATTGGACTGGTTTCATCAAATTTAATGATGAGGATAGGTTTGGTTTAGTTGAGAAATTTTAGAAAGATGAGAATTCAGATTGGATCGCTTCATGGCAACTGTTTCTTTTCACGGTGAGAAGCTGGGAGAATTTAATGTGAGTTAGTAGAAAATTTGTTGATTAATGAGTAAGAATGGTTGGAAATGGTAGGAAATCTCAAAAATGATGAATGAAATTGCAAAAGAAACTTGTATTGTCTTACCATGAATAGAATAGAAAGGTCGTATCCAAATGAAAATATTGTACTGAAGTAATGAGAGTAGAGGATAAAGAAGAATATTTGATTGTTCTAGGTTCGAAAAGAGCTGCTTGAAAGATGGCGAAAGGTTGTCGACAGTTTCCCGGCGCTGAACGCAAGCATCTTCGATGATTTCTGCGCTTTCGTAGATCAGGTGATTTTAGTGTTGTTTAAGTTGACTGTCGGCTTTGAAATAGATGCCTTTTAGAAAAGGGAGGAGCTTACTCTAATATAATCTGCTGGGAAACAAGTTCTGTTTCCTAATTTGTGCAGAAAAATTGATTTTTCGTTATATCCACCAAGCCAAACTTGTTTCCTATTCGATTTGTATATCATGCTCTAGACTGATTCAATGGTGCCGGCAACTCTAAGCTCTTCACTGGTCACTTTGATCACAATGCTAGTCATTTGTTTTCTCTTCATGAATTCTCTCTTCACAATCATCATCGCCACCCTCTCAATCATATCAATTTGTCTAGGTATTATTGCTCACAAATTCTTTTCATTCCTCAAAATTAGGTGTTTTCGGCTTTCTAGCTCTTTGGAATGTGAATTTGGACCCGATTTCGATGTCGTGTTTGATCATGTGAGTATAATAAAGGGATTAGGCTCAAGGCTATAGAATCATTAGATATGTAATTTCCTCATTTTCAAGGTCCATTGGATTCTCCGTTGATTTCCCAGCACATATTGCTTTCCATTTCCACCGTGAGGGTTTAGAACATCCGGATTCTAAACCGGCTGAGAGGATTGCAAGGTTTGTTTTAAATCTTGAGAATTTCGTTTTGAAATCTAAATCCTTGTAGAAAACAGAAAATATTTTATTTTTAAGTCCATGGATTGGCCATTAAGTGAAGATTAGGCTCAAAGCTATAGAATCGAGGCCATTGAGTATAGTTCTAGCAAAATCTTAAGTTGAATCAACAAAAAAATCAATCAATCAAAGCACGAGTATCCCTGAAAGTTCGTTTAGAAGCTCTATGATATATATTTTGTGTTTAAAAAGGGTAAACGCATCCTTTCTGGTGCACTCAATTTATTTCAAAGTAAAAGCTCAAAGATTGAGTGTGCCAGAAATGGTGCGCTTCCAAATTGCCTCTGAAAAGATATCCTGGCCTAATGACTTCAAATTTCTAATGACAGAAAGATGAAACTTCTCAGATCATTGCTTTCCATCGGTTTTCCATTACTTCAATGCGGTCTATCGACAGTTTTATTCGTTCTCTGTTTGATTTGCATCAAGACTTATATGGGAGAGGTGAGTAACTGACAATTGTAAAGTTAAAATAAAGCGAATTGCGGTTAAAGATCAAAATAGAATGAAAAGAAAAGAAAGGGATCGAACCAGCGCAAAGACTTTATTGCTTGTTTCGGAAACAAGACTCTTATCCACTACACCACAAGCTCATATTTCAAGGCGGTGTAAGAAGTCGTTAAAGGTTAACAGGGACTGATTCTTGACCTCAAACTTGTTTGCCAGATTCCTCACATTTCCGAATCATTTTGCAAAAACGGATAACAGAATCGGAATCAGCATAAAATTCTGCGTCGTATGGTCATTTGGCCATCTCAGCCTTGTGACCTTCCCTTGTGAGCCTTAACTCAAACAAAGTGATCTCATTTTCAGGTATTCGTGAAGACTGTCTTTCTGGTTGTCTCATTGGGTCTATTACATGGTCTCGTTATTGTCCCATCTTTCCTTTGCACTCTCTCAAATCTTCATTCATTGATCTGGAAGAAAAGGAAGGGAAATGAAATTGGAAAGGTGAAAAGCTTTCCGATTGCTTAAACTTGAATCAGTTTTCATTGAAATGGGGTTTCATTTTAAGTTTTCAAATTCAATACTTGAGTTATAGCTATTCAAAAAGTGCAAGACTGTATTTTGATATTCGAAAAAGTAAGCAAGAGCTGCATTTGACTTGAACAGACAAATAGTAAACTGGAAATTTGATTCCTGGACTAGAAATCCGAGGTTTTTCTACAATACCAAACATTTTTCGTTTGCTTATTCAGCAAACACTTTAATCCAGAGGTCAAAAACATCAAAAAAGACTTCGTAAATGTGGTAAAGCTGATTTGAAGCAAAAATATCCATTTTATTCAACGCAAAGATAGCTAGAGAATAATTGTAAACGATATAATGGTGGAGCTCTTGCTAAAGTGAAGATAAGTTTCCATATTCAGCATTCGATCATGATTCGGGACATGTGCGACTACAACTCAACATCGACTAGTTCGATCTCATCGAGTGTTTCGTAGGAATTCGTTATATGCTAGCATGTTTGTACATTTTGTTGATTTCTTTAACGTTTTCACCTTTTGAAGCACCAAACGTGGCTTGCTGTACGGGTTTTCTTTTCATTTGTTCTAAAATGTTTACAAAAATAAAAGTTCTTTGCATTGCATGAAAAAAAGTACAACACGAAATTCGCACATTTTGGCACTTAGCTGCACACTAAAATGCACTAAATACCATACCCCAGACAAGAACTACAATAGATCGTCGGACAAAAGGCAAAGTTGCGATAAATTTCAGTTTGAGAAAAGTTTTGTCGCGCTAGTTTGCTACTATTCCATTTGTTTGTTGAGATTGTACATTGCCATCTAAAATTGGCCCATTTCCACCTTTTGCCGATGATAACTACCCTAATATCAGTAATAGTAGCGCCCCTCCCCGTACAGTCGCGTAGTCTAACACACAATTTTGTGACGCTCGGTTCTCCGCACGGCTTCGACGAAAAATGTGCGCTTAGAAAAAAAGAAAGATGGCGCTTGAAGCGAAGAATTTTTTGATACTAACGGTTTATTTTAGAAAAATCCAGGCGCATTCAAAAAATTATTTGCTTCAGCGACTACGTGACTGTACATCATTAGGGAAGGGAGGCGCTACTATTACAGGTATTACGGTAGGCCACATATATAGTGCCCTTTCCAACTTTGATTTGTATACCCTAAGTTTCGTTTGATGTTTTGAACAACTAGCTTGTTTTGCAAAGGTGCAAGTTGAAAACTGCTCATGTTTTGTGAAGTTTAAGTCTAACGAAGCCCCCAGCCCGTTTGTGCCCCAGATTTTTGTTGTTCCTTCTTTTGGTTTGTTTACGCCTGGTTTAACGTTTCTCATTCTAGCAACTGTGGTTCTAACAATGACGAGCAAGATGTTGATCCCGATGGATGCGGGTGGCGACTTCAAGGCGATGAGTAGCTTTTCAGCACCACTCATCGGCAGTCATCTCGAGAAAGAGTTGGCCGATGGGGACTCGACTGCTTGCATCACCAGCACGACAAACGAGCCGACACTTCCCACCTACTTGGTGGAGCTTCTCGACGAAAGACTCGTCTCAAGCAACCCGAGGGGCCAGTTCAGACACACGACCCGGCTAATCAATGATGGTGTGGTTATTATCGTTTTTGGTCTTAAGAATTAAAAAGGGTTAGAGAGTTGTATTGAGATACATTTAGGTAGAAAGTACAAAAAAGAAACAAGTTAGGTACGTAGTTGTATTGAAACTTTAAGAATGGTGCCATCAACTGTAAGGTTGATTTTAATTTGTTTCATTACTTGTTTGTTTTAGAGATTGCTCGCATTCTGAGTGGCCAAGACGGCAACAACAACAACAGCAAGAACAAGGAGGAGGTGCGACGTGTTACTTTGGTCGAGAAAATCATGGTGCCCGTCGACAAATATCCAAAGTACAACTTCGTCGGTCGCATCCTTGGTAAGTTTTTGTTTTTTTTTCTTTTAAAAGTTCTTCCTGCAAGCAGTCCTATAAATATATTTTTAGGACCACGTGGCATGACTGCTAGACAACTCGAAGAGAAACTGGCTGCAAGATTATGGTGAGGGTCGAGGGAAATCATGGACCAACAGTACGTTCTTGAATTCAGTTTACGGCAGCATAAGTTCCTTTTTGTAAAGAGTTGCGGTCAAATGATTACTTTGCACTAATATCATTTGCTTAGGAGCCCCTGCACATCATCGTTCAATGTGAGGACATCGAGAGCCTTGTCGAGGAGAAGATGAGAAATGCCATCGAGAAGATCAACGTTTTGTTGCATCCCCCTGTATGTTTGTTAATGGTGAATCCATTAATTTACTTTTTAGCCCGAGGGTAAGGATGAACTGAAGCGAAAGCAACTTGTTGAACTTTCGATCATCAATGGAACTTATCGTCCAACTGCAGCAACGAAAAATGCTTTGCGTGAGTTTTTTTTGCGAATCAAAGATTAAAAAGGTGGATGTTTATAGGCTCGCACCGTATTTTAAGTCGTTAATCTTCTAGCATATGAACGATCGTTTACCCGAATTACCTGACTGTATCTTTTTAGAAACTCCACGTCCTCATGTTTTGCCATCTGGTGGAATCATCTCGCCTCAAGCCTTAGCCTTCACTCCACGCGATAAGCCAACTAAGATGTCTATGGAGAAAAAGAAAGTCAACGACATTCTTCACCAGAATCAACTGATGTCGATGATGGCGCTCTTTCAACCAACAACCACTCGTCAGGAGTCGGAATGTGATGCTCAGGTTTGGTTGTGTTCCTTAATTAGCAGAATTTTTGCTTTTAGACAATTGCTGGATTTGCAATCCCCTCTCTCACCGGTGGATTATGCAAGCCCACTCATTGCAGCTATGTCGTCGACTCGCGCATCACCTCCAATTCCACAGGTATAATCAAGTCATTAGAGAATAGCCGATATGACAAAATAGAATGTTTCTTTTTAGGGTAACACTGAACATTTCATGCAGGCTATCTCAATGTTGCACTCGCTGCCCTTTGCCAAGGATCACTAGCAACTCAGTGAAATAAAAAGAATTCTCGGTCTAATCATAGCCCAATTTACTTCTCGTTTACCTTGTATTATTGTGTCACTACCTTAATTAATAGTTTGCTTTCTTTTGTGGATTCCGAGTTTTAACACTCTTGTGTTCTATATTCAACTGTGAGAAAATGTTTTGTGTTCATGTGTATTTAACTCATTTCGTTTAATGTTTCGTTTTCTATCAGCCGCTCGCTCTCGACAAGTGTTTTGTGTTTTCAATCTAACCTATCTCGCGGCTTTTTAATAAATGATTTCGCATCTGCACACGGATCGGGAATTGATTGAAAACATGAACGAATGTTTTTGTTGGGAGATTTTCATGGTATAATTGGGTCGTGAAGGTTTTACTTGGGTGGTTAAAATTCGAGAAAGTAGTTAATGCCCAATTATTGAATATCACGTGATAAAAGCGATCCAATTCTTATCTTTCCCTTGTTTCGAGCGGTGGCTGTAAGACTGAGTAATCGTTTCTCTTTGCTCAGAGAACTCACCGTCACTTGGTTTTCCCTCGCTTTCTGCCACTCTTTTCAACTTCCTTGGTCTTTGCCGTTTTCTTTCGGCTTTCAAACTTTCGAGATCCCAATGACCTAAGCAGTTGAGGGTCCTCTATTGATTCGTTTGGTGAATCTTTTAAATTTAATCAGCACGAATTTTTGAAAGTTTCTTTGGCAGCTTTATGAATGAGGTTTTTGATGATCAAGCGTTTCAAACGATTCATCAGGATTTTTGTTTTGCCATCTTCTCATCAAAATCAACACACTTTATATATAAACATGTTTAAATCGTGTCGCTCAAAACACTGCCTTTTTCGCGAAGTGCCGCGCGCCAAACCAGCAAAACAAGGGGTCAAAGAGAAAGATCGCTGACGAAACATTGATTCTCCCCGATTTCCTATAAATACACTGGTGTATTTGGAAATTCTGGCTAGGGAAAATATTCGAGCTTCTTAATTTTTCTGTCTACCCTAATTGCGGTTTTGAAGGGCAAGTTTATTTTTGATTTGACGAATACCGTGTTTCGATCTATCCTGTCTAGCAAATAAGGGCTTTAGCCATTCCCGTTAAACTTAACCCTAATCAATTTCCTTGACCAACTCAAACGTGCGGGAAGAGTTGGGTTCTTGGGCTTTTGTCGGAGAATGGCCCAAGAGAAGGGGAGGATCGGTTGTGTGTTTGACGCATTTTCTGCACACATGGCCACTTTTTCGACCAGCGATCGATTTCTTTTCATGAGGGCGAGCGGGTGGAGGTGAAGAGAAAAAGAGAACCTTGCAGCACATGCGTTGAAAAAAAGGCTCCCCATATTTTTTCGTCATTTAACCTCGATTCGATTTCCTAAGAGATAAGGTTCTGATTTGCATTTCACTCTCATTAGCTTTCAAATTCGACCAGAAGGGCTAAACAGAAATCCAGTCCCTTTTCGGCTACGTACTTATTTCGGTTTTGTCGTTTTTAGTGCTAGGTGTAAAATACGTTGACGGAACGTGTCTATTTTTGTTATTTTAGTTGTCATGCTTTTTAACGTTCCTTTAAAGTTTCTAATCTTTTATATTTTAGCTTGGAGTAAAAGGTGCCAAAATGCACCGAGCGGGAATGCTTTTGCCGGCTTGCGAGCCCTTCTCGAGCTGCTGCTATGGCGAGGTTAATTTTGAAAACAATTTGTACAAGTATGCAAGCTATTTTGTAAATATTTGTTTCAGAACTCGAACTACAATTGCTGCAACTCAATTGACAAAGCCGGAATCTTCAACGAAACATCAAGCACGTGCTCAGGTACGCGTTGTGTTTTATTTTTGTCTTTGTAAATGGTAGTAAACTTTAATTTTTTAGTCAGCGGCAGCTTCTGTGAAACACGAATCTTTCATGAATGGCTCGACTTCAGTTTACATTGAACAAATGTACGCGGCTGGCAAGAAGACCCAAATTCGGTTCATAAGGTAAGTTTTTTATTTAATACTTTTAAGGAAATATATTTAGTCGTGGGATGCGTATTTTCGCAATGTTGAACAAGGAGCGGCTCCTGGGCAAGCTTTCCAAGTAAAATTTACTAGTTGATAGTTTCACTGTGGTTTTAGGCTCCACCAACTGGAGGCTTGACGCTCACCGGCATCACTCAACCATCGGCAGGTGCAGCTTCTACGGCGCTTTCAACCGCCGGAGCTTCAGTCCAATCAATCTCCGATCATTTGAAGATTCAACTCTTGATCCGTTCCTATCAGGTACATTTGCTCACTTTATTAAAAGGGTTAAATTTGCACTGCTAGGGAATATTTTTGTTTTGATAAAATATTAATTTTAGATGCGTGGACACAATGTTGCCGACCTCGATCCACTTGGAATTAACAGCGCTGACCTTGACGATACTGTTCCACCCGAATTGGAGCTTTCCTTCTACGGGTTGAATGAAAACGATCTTGAAAGGTGAGAAAACTTGTTTATTGACTATTTCATAATTCCATTCAGAGACTTTGTGCTCCCGCCTTCAACCTACATTGGAGGATCGCAAACGAGCATGAAACTCAAGGACATCATTGACCGATTAAAGGTTTTAAGGACGAATGTTTTTATGATAACTTAGTTTCTTTAGGACATTTACTGTCTCCGAACTGGTGTAGAATATATGCACTTGACGAATTACGAACAACAAGACTGGATCCGACGTCGTTTCGAAGCTCCACGAGTTACTGAACTTTCACGAGATCAGAAAAAGGTTGATTAGTTAATATAACGCAAAAACCTAAATGTTGCTTTTAGGTTCTCTTCAAACGGCTTATTCGATCAACGAAATTCGAGGAGTTCTTAGCGAAGAAATGGCCTAGTGAGAAACGATTCGGACTCGAGGGTTGCGAAGTGTTGATCCCGGCCATCAAACAAGTTAAAAGGAATTAGCGACCTTTTAAGGTTCAAAATTTAGGTGATTGATTCTTCATCTTCTCTTGGCGTCGACTCATTCGTCATTGGAATGCCACATAGAGGTTTGAATTATATAGATTAACTTTACTAATGAATACATTTTAGGTCGTTTGAATGTGCTCGCCAATGTTTGCAGACAACCACTTGCCACCATCTTGTCTCAATTTGCAACTCTTGAACCAGCTGATGAGGTTTGTTTTGAAGCTAAATCTTAAAGCAAAGTCATTGATTTTCTTACTAATTTGTTAAGGGTCTGGTGATGTCAAATACCATCTTGGAGTTTGCATTGAGCGCCTCAACCGTCAATCTCAGAAGAATATCAAGTAAGTGTATACTTTTGCTTGTGGAATAACGCGGAATTTTTTCAGGATCGCAGTTGTGGCAAATCCATCTCACTTGGAGGCTGTGGATCCTGTTGTTTTGGGCAAAGTAAGTCTTGAATATTGGATTCAAAGAGATAGAATGCTAAAATACCAAATAATTCAAATTTGTTTTAGGTTCGTGCCGAAGCCTTCTACTCTGGGGACCACAAATGCGATCGTGCAATGGCGATCATGTTGCACGGAGATGCCGCCTTTGCAGGTCTTTAAACAGTCTAGTTGTCTTGATAGGTGTACTTTAGGCCAAGGAGTCGTATTGGAGACATTTAACTTGGACGATTTGCCATCTTACACAACAAGTGGCTGCATTCACATTGTAGTCAACAATCAAATTGGATTCACCACCGATCCTCGATCATCTCGGTATTTGTTTGCATTGATATGAAATGACATTCATTCTCTTGCTTCTAACCGAACATTTTAACAGTTCTAGCGTCAAAAACACAATTGTTTAAGCCGATCATTAGTAAAACATAAGCAAACATAAGACATCTGCATTTCGTTTCGTCAAAAAAGTTTTGTAGCTTCGAAAATTCAAAATTAAGTTTCCTTTAGGACTCGAGATTTGCGGTGAACAGACACATCGTACTTTACACCTTCTAATAAGTAAATCCATTTATATTTAGTTCATCACCTTATTGTACCGATGTTGGTCGTGTTGTTGGATGTCCGATCTTCCACGTTAATGCCGATGATCCAGAGGTTTGTGTCACGAGTTTATACTATTTTTTGAAATTTAGGCTGTTATGCACGTGTGTAACGTAGCTTCTGATTGGCGTAAGACATTCAAGAAGGATGTTATTATCGATTTGGTCTGCTATCGAAAGTGAGTGTTCTTTTATGACATTAAATATGCTTTACATTTTAGATACGGGCACAACGAGTTGGACGAGCCGATGTTCACCCAGCCTCTCATGTATCAAAAGATCAAGAAACATAAGCCGGTGGGATATTAACATTATTCGTTTTCAACGACCCTGTTTCAGGTTTTGGAACTCTACCAACAGAAAATTCTGAAAGAAAGCGTCGCTGATGAGCAATATGTCAAGGTTTTGCATCTAATTTGTCATAATCAGGGTGATTGTTTAGGACGAATTAACCAAGTACGGACAAATTCTTGAGGATGCATATGAAAACGCTCAAAAGGTTGCTTGGTTTATAATTTCTGAATTAAACTTTCTTTAGGTGACCTTTGTCAGAAACCGTGATTGGTTGGACTCGCCATGGGATGATTTCTTCAAGAAGAGGGATCCATTGAAGGTAAATATCAAAAGTGTTTCAATTCTTAAAATTATTTAGCTGCCTTCAACTGGAATTGAAAGCGAGGTTTCGAACTTGATCATTGACAAATTCTCATCGTACCCTGAAGGATTTAATCTTCACAAAGGTAACACAATATGAAAAGTGACAAACTTTAAAGGAAAAATATAGGTCTTGAACGTACTTTGAAAGGACGACAACAAATGCTGAAGGATAATTCGGTTGATTGGGCGGTTGGAGAGGCCCTTGCTTTTGGATCACTCCTCATCGAGGTATTATTGAGATCTTTGATTCTTTGGTTAAAGTGTTCTTAGGGTATTCATGTTAGATTGAGTGGTCAAGATGTGGAGCGCGGAACCTTCTCGCACAGGTAAAAAATTCCTTGCTTATTCGTAATGCTATCTTTAGACATCACGTGCTTCATGATCAAAAGGTCGACCAGAGGGTCTACAATCCGTTGAACGATCTTCGTGAAGGACAAGCTGAGTACACTGTGTGCAACTCCTCGCTCTCTGAATACGCTGTCCTTGGTTTCGAACTTGGCTACTCAATGGTAACCCTATTGCATCCATTGCTTTTATAGATCTGCTTTAGGTCGATCCAAACTCATTGGTCATCTGGGAGGCTCAATTCGGAGATTTCTCGAACACCGCGCAATGTATCATCGATCAATTTGTGAGCAGTGGACAGAGCAAATGGATTCGGTACATATTAAACTCGGTTATTTGATAGTTTTCATTTTAGACAATCTGGATTGGTGATGCTCTTACCACACGGTTATGAAGGAATGGGACCAGAACACTCGTCGGCCCGCCCCGAACGTTTTCTTCAAATGTGTAACGAAGATGATCAAATTGATTTGGACGTAAGCCTTTCTCAAATTGCTTTATTTAAGGCCATTTTTTAGAAAGTTGCATTTGGACCCACTTTCGAAGCTCAGCAGCTCCACGACACAAATTGGATCGTTGCTAACTGCACCAACCCAGCAAACATCTACCATCTTTTGAGGCGTCAAGTAAACGACTGTAAACGTTCAACTATTTTTTGTGTTTAGGTTCTCAATGCCATTCCGTAAGCCAGCTATTGTGATGTCGCCAAAATCGTTGCTTCGCCACCCTATGGCTAGATCGCCGATGGAAGATTTTGCAGCAGGGACTCACTTCCAGGTAAATTCACCAACTGTACAAATACAACTACGAACTTTTAGCGTGTCATTTCTGAAACTGGAAGTGCTGCTCAGAATCCAGCTAACGTCCAAAGAATTGTCTTCTGCACAGGTTTTTAAAAGCTTATTTTGGCAAATAAAATTTTTTAGGCAAAGTCTACTACGATTTGGTTAATGCTCGCAAACACATTGGAAAAGAAAACAATGTGGTCTTGATTCGTGTCGAACAAATCGCTCCTTTCCCATATGATTTGATTCAAGTAAGCAAAAGTTTGTTTGCTATTTATTTTATTTGGGATTTAGGCTGAGTGCCGCAAATACCCACAAGCCGAACTATACTGGGCCCAGGAAGAACACAAAAATATGGGTGCTTGGGCGTTCATTCAACCACGGTAAACCTCTTAGAAGCTAAAACATAAGTGCATCGAATGTTGTTTATTTTTGTAGGTTCAACTCGCTTCTTGCTAGAGAAGGAAGGGGAATTAAATATGCCGGACGACACCCATCGGCTTCTCCAGCTACTGGTTTGTTATCTAGTCGATGATGTTTTTCGAAGCTATTTGTTTAGGCAACAAATACACCCACTTGCAAGAGCAGAAAGAACTTTTCGCGCAAACTTTCAATGCCACCAAGAAAGATTTCGAAGGATTCAAGCCTTAAGCTCCTGTGACATCTTTGGTACCTGATTTTGAATTCTTGTTAATTGCTATCTCATTTGTAATAAGAGTCACTCTTTTGTTCCCATTAGATTTATGTATCCCGAATATTCCCGCTTTGCGGTGGCACCCTACTTGAGAAACGTTGTTTTTAGCAAGAATGCAACCAGTATTTCTAGTCTAATACTTTTTCTAATAAGAAACCATTGCTGATTGCCATGTTTCCGGTATAGCTGCATTCTTGTTCTTTGATCAACTCGCTTATTTTTTAGGTTAGATCAAATTCTTTCTAGGACTTTTCCTCTTTTTTATTTTTGAAAGCCTCAAATCATTTACTACTCAAGGTTTATTTTAGATTGAAATAAATATTTATTATCCAAAATGCATTAAGATTTTCAGAAACAAAGACGACACTAGCTGAATTATAGTACATTGGAACTTCGGCGCTTGTCCGCCGTAATATCCAATCCCTCTAAGTAGCAGGCGGCCGCACTTAGGGTTGCTTTTGGTTACAGTCACGGTTAATTGTTACTTTGAAAATAAAATTGTTACGTTCAGTTTCGTACGACGTCCGGCCCCAAATTCGTAAAATTTTTTAAAATATCAAGCCTAGCAGATTGGGTAAGATAAGGTTTTTGAGTTGGATTACTCTGTCGTTTTCCAAAATCTACACATTTTCGTGTCCAAAATGTGCACATTTTCGGGGCGGCATGTGCTCGTTTGAAGAGAGAATTAGGATCATAAAACAAAGCACAGATGACAAAAGTCTATTCACGTTTCACTCGTTTGTCGAAAGTTTTTCGTGTCGCAGCGAGTGAATGTCGTAACTCGATTCACTTGTCTACTGGGCTGGGGCTCGGGCGGTCAGACTTGATTTGCATCGACATTAGCTAGTCGACCAGATAATTCGACGCCGAGAAACGCCAACATTTTCTTTCATTCCTTGATTCTTGAAGAAAATACTAGAACTGAAAGGATTTCTATGATTCGCTGAAAATGTTTTTATCTATTGTTTCGTCTCTATTTTTGAGTGGAGTCAGTGCAGGTTAAACTTTTTGGATCAACAATTTTGAGATGTTTAGATGTTTAGATTGAATTTAAAATCGAACTCAATGTTTTTCTAGAGTTAGTCCTTTTGTTGGCCGTTTGGAGACACGGAGATCGAGCTCCTGAGCGACTTCCCTATCCGAATGACAAAAATGGAGAGGAAGCGTGGCCACGCGGATGGGAACAACTCACAAATGTGCTTTTTTTAAAAGTTTATCTACAGATTTTCTACTTTATTCTATTTTGTTTCTTTTGTTAATATTGATTCTTTTAGTTGGGCATTTCGCAAGGCTTCGAATTGGGCACATTCCTTCGGAAACGTTATGCTGGACAGCTATTCGCGAGAGATTTTAATAGGAAAGAGGTGAGTTTTGCGAAATATTGACTTTTAATCCATAATGTGATCTTTCTATCGAAAGATTTGAGCATAAAAATGAACAATCTGGGGTTGGCAGTAAAATTCCGAACATTTTGAACACTATTTTAAAAAATGATTTTTCGAAAAAATTTTATGTGGGAATTTTTTCGGGGTAAGAAAATTGAAAATTAAGAAGGTAAGAAAAATTATTTAACTTTTAAATGCGTTTTTTGCGCCTTTTAGGTCAAGGGCTATAACGTAAAGTGGTTTTTATGCAAAAAAATGAGTTTTTGGGTTTATCTGGGCCTTACCTACTTTTTCGGTTAGCCGATTTTGGAGGGTTGAAAAATGACAAGCCCATTGGCTACTTATAGAGTTTTTATGGTAGGTGTTTGTGCAATCGTCGGACTCGGAACGAGCAATGGAGACTGGGCAAGCGGTGATGGCCGGGCTCTTTCCGGCTGAGGGGAATCGAGTGTGAGTTGTAAAAAAAGCTCTAAAAGTATCTTTACCCGGCAAATCGATATACAAATTTAATGGAAAGACGTAGAATTGCAAATTTTTAGCGAAATTGCGTTAAATTTGTTTATTGATTCTTGGGATACCTGAAAAATTGGGTCTGGTTAGTCTTGTGCGTATTCTAGTGGCTTTAGAAGTGATTTTATGAACGTCAAATCAGCCTAATTTTTATTCTTTAGATGTTAGTCAATATTGAAGCTTTTTTTTTTTAGGTGGAATGCTAGTACTGAATGGCAACCCACTCCAATGCATACAAATGGAAAAGGAAGAGAAGATCCGGTAAGAAAATATGAAAAATCAATCAAAATTTTCTTTCTAGCTTCTTAAACCGACTGGTGTCTTTTGCCCAAACTATGAAGCGATTCGAAAACGAGATTTTCATCGATTGGAAATGAGAATGGACAAGTTTGGCAAAAAGAAATTGAACTAAAAGAACTAAAAAGCTTCTGTAGAAAGTATGGCGGGCTTTTCGATTGGTTGAGTGCGGAAACTGGGATGAATGTATCGTTTGCGAATGTCAAGAAGTTGTATGATGTGGATAAAGAGGTTGAGGAGTGAAGAAATGTTGTGATTAGAAAGAGTTCAGATTATGCATTCATTGCCGCAACCCGATTGGGTGTACACAAGTTGGGAAGGGGAAAAAGTGCTGAACTTGATTCGGGAATTGAAACGCTTGTCAAGGATGGAGGATTTCAATAGTTTTAAGAAAGCGAGATTTCGCGGAGGGTAGGAGAAATGAGGAATCGAAAACAAGTGAATTCAGGTATTTGTTGAATGATTGGTTGACAAGGATTGAAGAGGTGGAAGTGAGGAAGAAGACGCCGAAAGCCGTGCTTTATTCATCGGTGAGGGGATTCCAGGAAGAGAAGGAGTGCAGAAATATTGGTGAACAGGCAAATATTGTATTGGAACCGTATTGGAACCTTATTGGAACCGTATTAGATCCAAAAAAGAACCGTATTGGAACCGTATTGGAACTGGTTAGGCTACAGTACTACTATTGCAGACGGTTAAACAGACAGTAGACAGTACGGTAGTGAGCAGACATGTGAAAATTCCACCTTTGTTTTCTCGGTCGTTTTTTGGCCGAAGGACAATTATTGCAATCAAGACAGCAATCAAAGTCTAAACTAAAATTGAAAAGAAACTCAAATGTGAACTCACAATCAGATTTGGGATGTTAGTTGACAATTACAATAGTTTAGCCGTAGTAGAATCCAAGTGCAACTTACAATACCTACTGATTTAGCACGATGGCACAGTGGCCTCATTGATGCACGCGATGGGGGTGACAGACAATCAATTGGTCCCATTCGCCGGCTGTTTCTTTGTGGAAGTTGTTCGCGACGAGGCCAATGATCTTTATGTGCAGGTGGATGAAAAAACGAAATGGAAACCGCGCCAGAAACTAAAGACTTCGGCAACACTTTCTGCATTAGCAAACAACTTTTGTTTTCTAAAGTGTGAAAGAAAAAGTTCCACGCTTTAGAAGAAGGTTGATTGCTAGATTGTGATTGCGCTCGTTATTCGCTCGATTATTGATTGCGCCTCGTTATTCACTATAAAGAGGGAGCTGGTCAAAACAGCGTCGTGTACAAATAGCGCCAACCAAAATAATGCATTTACGGTTAAGTTTATTTGTGTTTGTGTCTATTTTCATTGGATGTAGAAAAAATTACCTATCTGCTGAATCTTTTGGAGTCGTTTAGAACAAAGCTGGGATGAGAAAATGGCAAAAAAAAGGCTAAAAGGACTAAAAAAAGAGGTCAACTGAGCTTTTCTCGACACAAATTCTGTTTTAATGTTTTTCTTAAAGTATGCAAAATGTAGATAATTTTATTTTGCATCCAATAAGAATAAGAAACACATAGAAACTTAACCACGGAGCGGCTATTTTTGCCTTTCTTGACCAGCTCTCATCAAAGATTCCTGAATCTGCTGTTTGAGCGTTAATATTGTGGTAGAAGTATTGATGAACCGACAAAAAACTAGGCTGAACAAGCCACTGAATGACATTGCCACTCAACTGAATGACATTGCATTGTAAAGCATAGTCACAGGATGCATACTGAATCCCAAATAATAGTGTACTAGACTTGCAGCTTTCAAGACCTTATTTTGAAGCTAAAAGCTTCTCTTTTACTTTTACAAAGGACAAGACACGCAATATTTTTCAGATGTTCTACCGAAATGCCACTCTTGGCGATCCACAAATCTGCGGTTGAAGAATTGCTCAACGGAATGCCCGGTGACCGATTTCATTCGTTTACTCGAACCGAATCGCATTCGCAGTGAAATCGAACTGAAAACGGTAGAAATTCTCAAATGACACCCCTTAGTAATCAAATTTTCTCAGATCTGCAGCTGTAGCTTCAAACAAAGGCCTAATGTTCTTCATCTACATTTTGCTCGTTAAATTTGCTTCGTTTTGACAATTTGTGTAAAATTAGGAACAAAAATTACAAACAAGAGATGCAATAAAGTTCTACAGATTACAGATTCATTGGTTTGTCACGTTTGTAAAGAAAAACAATAGAAAGACGTTGAATTTGCCATTGACGTTGAAAGACGTTGAATTTGCCAAGCTAAACCCCGCCACCTCACACCAGACCCTATATAACGCGCCCCTTTTTCTTTAGCCTTGTCTCCTTCGTTACCAAAGAGAAGCGAAATCTTCAGCCAACAAAAAATGGCTCGGCGCGGGTCGGGAAAGAAGCAAGGGCAGCTCGGGCCGGGATCGTGTTCCCGGTCGGATGAATTCAATATGGAGGGCGCGGCGCATCGGTGGATCTACCTCGCCGCTGTGCTGGAGTATCTCGTCGCGGAAATCCTCGAATTGGCCGGCAATGCAGCTCGTGATAACCAGAAGGTCACTAGTAGCCCACGACGTCTGATGCTAGTTGGACGTGGAGCTGGATAAACTACTCCATGGTGTCGGCTTCCCGCAAGGAGGCGTGGTCCCATTCCTTCCAAAGCACAAATCTGTCCAGTCCAAGGACGATGAGACTGATTAGAGGCAAATGACCTCGTCAAGCTATAGCATCCAACCCAACGGGCCTCTTAAGGGCCGCAAACTGATGCTCCTCAAACATGTGTCGTAGAATGGAGAACCCGCTAACTTGTCGTTCGTTCAAAACCAAGCGTTTTGGTTCATTTATTCATTTTTATGCTTCGAGGGTCATTGCGCGTAAAATTTCGGGACTATGACAATACCGCAACGAGATTTGCGCAAAACAGGCCCCTCCCAGAAACTTCAGGCGCTAAAAGTTGGAGGGAAATGGCCTACATTGCCTCGATTGGGCCCAATTTTTTACGGCATCTTGCGCTCGCTTATTTTCAACCAGAAACCCGATGTGGCGGCCATATCGTAGAGATATTTTGAGAACTGGAACGGCTTTTGAAGGGTTTACTTGCAAAGTATTACGCTACAAGTTGTTACGCTATAGCTAGATATTTCTGAGTTTTACTGGATATGCACTCTCCTCGAGAATCATCTCGACCACAGCTTCAAAGTAGAGCTGAAATTCTGAGTATTGTTTCCTGGTAGGAAGCTTTAAATTCAAATTTTGTAGCATATTGTTCCTGAAAAATTGTGCGCAGTGAAGTATTCGAGTGAGTGTCGGTCAACAGTTCGCTGCCATTGTTTAACAGAACAGAAGAGATCGACGCACTGTACGTCGTTTCTCTGAAATACGAGAATTCAACAATTTTCCGATTTTCCGATTTTTTTTTTGCGCCGACTCGCAGGGACGCAGTCAATCGCACCAGAAATTTCACTGATTTCATTTCACTGAGTAAGATTTCACTGATAAAGTGCCTGAAACTCGTCTAAGCCAAGCCAAACCAGGGTCAGATCACAATTATTGGATGAATGGCTAAATTTTTCTAGATTTCAAAAAGTTCTTTTATGATTTATTGCTAGTGAAAAGTCATGTAATAATCAGCTTTTTGACTAAAGATTTCAGCTGTAGAACAAACTAGTTCAAGCAATCATCATTTTCATGGACATTTTTGAGTCCAAAGCAAATTCATTAAGAAATCCCAGGCTTTATCGCTTCAAATTATTTTCAAAACTAGTAGAGAATGGCCTTCAGAGAGAAAAATGTGTTTTTCTAGACGTTTTCATGTTAAATCTAAATTTCTGTCGCAAATTTTAAGTGTTAATTTTATCTTATCGTTAAATGTTGACTTTCGCAATTCAAATGTTGAAAAGGCAGCCCATCATATTGTCGATGTTGAATGGCTCCATCTTGATAAGAGTTCCGATCAACTTTGAATAGATGATGCCATCTAAAGAGTTTGAACTTTCTTTCAATACGGATGAATACAAATTGCGTGTTTGAAGATTGTCTTTTGAACCAATTTTGAACCTACTAATTTGAAGATTGCAACTGTTAATATCTACTAATTTTAAATGATTCTATTAGATCTACCTGTTACTCTATGGGAACTTCCATATTTGCTGGTTCTATAATTGTGGAGCGATTAGTTCCAAAGAAATTACTACCGTAAATACTCTAATAGAAGGGCACCGCCCCGTACAGTCGCGTAGTCGATACTTTTTCGAGCTGCACTTTATGTTTTGGCGTAATGGCTTCATATTAAACAAATCCTCATTTTTATCCCTAGCTTTTTACTTTGATGAATTTTATAGAAGTTAGACTTAACTACTCTTAAATCTGATATTTCTACCATTCATTTCATTGATATATAGTAACTTTAACTTTAGTGTTCGCTCCCTTTCTTATTGCTAATCATTTTTAGGTAATTTCAATATGTCGTCCAAGAGGAAGAAAAACGACAGTTCGGACGAAGAAGGTATTTAAATAGTATAATTTATTGCATATTATGCTATCTTTTTTTTAGTGATGGAGACAATTGGGAGATGGAGTGTCTAAGAAGGTTAGGCAGCTGGCAGAGGGCGAACGATGAGCGTAGGGTAATGGCTTCGAAGACTGAAAGCCTAGAAAGGCAATTGGTATGTTCTTTAATACCATAAATTCTTGATAAAATGCCAATATTCTAGAAACGTACCAACAATGAACTCCTTGAATCCAAGTCAATGCTAAGTGCAGAGGTGTTATCGAGTGGCTTGAGGAGCTTGTTATTTTCTGATTACATTTTGAACTTTTCAAATATTATAATCTAAGTTCCACTAAACTCATGCTTCTTTCTAGAGCTATGAAAGTTTTGATATTTGAGTTGTTCTAGTTTAACATTTAAGGCCTTTAGATTTAAATTCTATTTAATTTTCAATTTCTGGAAATCTTAGAAAACAGGGGAATGCGGGATTCTGTCAGGACGGGGTGTTCGGCACGACCGATGGAAATGGATTTTCGTTAATGATCCCACATTCCGCAATGAAGTTCGCTCTGCCTGGCCTCGATCCACTGCTCAGCGAGTTGCAAAGATGGTTGACAAGATTCTCTGCAATGCTTACGCCGATGGACAATCATCTGATGAATCTGTATGGAGAAAAGGACTTGACATCTCACTCCAGGGTTATACAACTGAGCAACAGTATGTTCTTAAAGCTATTTGTGCTACGATTCCATGCACTCTTACTATTGAATACTCTTGCTGTGGAATAAAATTTTGTTTTGATTTGACATCAACGGATCGCCAAAAAGCGCAAAAGCGGGTGCAAATCGTCCAGTTGACGTCTGGAGATTGAGATTTCTAAGCGAAAAACAATTCTTTTACGGATATTATCCTAGAGATAAACTTTATTCAATCTAAATCTTTATTTAACTTACATCATCCTTTACCTGAAACGAAGGAATGGCTGAAGATTCTCGTCACCTCCGCTCCCTTCGGAAACGAAATTGAAATGGTCGATGAAATCGGGTGATGAAGCCGATTTTCTGCACAATTTTCGTATTGCTTTTAAAAGGAACTTTTTTGACTCTCGTACGTTATTTGGATTCATTTACAACAATTTTTTATACCTAGGCGAATCATCAAATTTCATCATACTTATTGAAAACTCCGGAAAACCCCTTTTTTATGCTTCAAAAACTTGTAAACACATCTTTTTCTGATGCACTCAAATCGTTTATAGAAATGATTAGTGCACCAGAGAGAATGCCTTTGCATAGCTCAAAGAATAAGAAAAAGTCTAGGATTAACTGTACAATTTTAGAGATAGTAACTTTGTCACACCGAATTCATCAGCCTCAGAAGAGGTTGGTGGTCAGTTTTAATATCATAGTCAAAAACAGAATTAGCAATAACAAATTCATACTAAAATTCTAGGTACTGTATCTTAGAGAAAAACAGAGTGTTCTCTCTATTCGTTTGTGATTATTCAAACCAGACAACTTTTTTGGGACCATGACAATACAACAATTGTGATTTGCTTACACGTGAAAAAACGTCTTTTGCACACGTCCCGCCCCACAACTTCAAGCGCTAAAAGTTGCACCAAATGGCCTACATCGCCTGATTTTTGGCCCCAAATTTTACAGCATGTTTCTGCCTGACTATGCCCATCTACTGTAAAATTTCCGCTTGATAGCTTCACTCAAAAAACAGAAATTGGGAACCCATTGTTTGCTTTGTAGCGTAAAAGACGTTTTTCCACGTGTGGGGAATGGCGGTGCCGTATTGTCATGGCCCCGGAAAAGTTGTTTGGTTTGAATAATCACAAAACGAATAGAGAAAGTCACTGAAGTCCCAAAAAGTCATTGAAGTTTAGTTCAATTAACAAACTTTGCTTAAAAATTAGTTTTAGATCTTTAAAGTTTTATCCTTCCCAAATGATTTGTGGCCCTAAAGAGGGCCGTTGGGTTGGGGTTTAGTTTGAATTATCGTTCAGCGCTTACGCACGCTCAACACCACGGATACGACGAGCAAGTTGGATGTCCTTCGGCATGATCGTCACACGCTTGGCATGGATTGCACACAGATTGGTATCTTCCGAAGAGACCGACGAGGTACGATTCAGAAGCTTCTTGAAGGGCCATCACAGCAGACGATTGAAGCGGAGGTCAGTCTTGAAATTCTGGGCGATTTCCCGGACGAGTCGTTGGAATGGAAGCTTGCAGGGATGTAAGAAGCTCAGTTGACTTTGGTAGCGCCGGATTTCTCGGAGAGCGACAGTTCCTGGCCGTAGCGATGAGGCTTCTTGACTCCTCCGGTTGCTGGGGCTGACTTGCGGGCAGCCTTGGTAGCATTGTTTGCGGGGAGCCTCTTTCCTCCACTCGATGCTTTGCGGGCGGTTTGCTTAGTTCGGAGCCATCTTTTCGTTGAAAGAAGAACGATGAAGAAATGAGCAAAACCGCCGCTTATAGAGGGCCTTCAAAAGGGGCGGGGCTTGCCATCGGCAGGGGTTGGCGGAAAGCGACGGGGTTTAGCTTGCCATTGGCAAGTGGCAGGCGGAAAGGGGCAGGGTTTAGCTTGCCTCTGGCAATCTCCCTGGAATTTTACTGCCCTCACTTCATTTCCTCATCTTGGATGAAACTTTGATAAAATTTTTGAGGCGAAGTACTGGGAATTTTCGTGGCAATGGCTTGTAGATGTGAATGTAGACCTTAAAAATAATCAGATGTAACTGCGATTTTTAACATTAATAACATGAAATCTTTATTACAAGTTAATGCCACTTTCAGATCCGGAAAAATGGTGATCACAATAATGATACCCGTAATTATGAGAGAGCACCGGCGAAAGAATTTGGGTAGAAGGACTTTGGGAAATTGATGAAAAAGGACAAAATATTAGATGACTTGTTGCTCGTTTCTTGCCGATACGAGGTTGTCGTAGTAACACATTTCACAGATCTGTGAATCGTTTTTGTAGTTTGGTGGATAAATGGTTGAGATTTAGGGCATTTTTGATTTTTAAATCTAGCCGGTGATCGATCTGTTGCTACTAGTAAAACACGGTACTTGTATCGTTTATTAGATCACCTTATCGACTGTCGGCGCATTGCAAATGGCCGTTCTCTCTTGCTGTACTCGGCGATTCGCTCAATTCGTAGAGATCCGTCGATAACGATGACGATAACGAGCAATGAGACCAAACAAACTGAAAAAAGGAGCGGTTGTTGATGTCATTTACATCTTGCCAATGTCTACCTTTTCACCTCAACTCAAAGCCATCATATCTTTTGTGCATATCGGCAATCATTCCCTAATCAATCCACTCAAAATCGGAGGCACTTGTGTAATTCTTCACAGAATCCCATCTAAAAGAAACTTTAAGCAAGTATTGGCCTCAAAAGATACTGTACTCAGTTACCCTATGCAAAATACAAATTGTTTTATATTCTTATTGAAGCAAGTTTTTACATTTAATTTTCGGATCTTTTACTCACTGATTCTCATGCCGAAGTCCATGTAGAACCATTTGATTAAGAGAAAACACCTAAAGTACAGTAAACAGTTGATTAAATATAAAAATAGAATTTTCACTTCATTTTACCTACTTCTAACGTCGGATATCGGAAATGTGGGCGAATCGATTTGACACAAGGAAGTGAGAGGATTCTTTCGGGAGAGTGATGCGAATAATTTCTTGTAGACATCGGTTTCACTAAATTCTTTTAGATTCATTACCCCTTGAGTGTACTTTATGTTCAGAAATGGAATGCACTCTTTCTGGTGCACTCGGTTATTCATTTTTGTAAACACAAACTTGTTGCAGCCAAGAAAAAAGGAGTATTTGAGGGCAATGTTTTCATTTTTGAGCACAAAGAACATGCAAGTTTTTGTTTGATTGACTATTTTGCAATCACCAAAAGATTGTAGCAAAAGAAAAGATAAATGGAAAATAAAAGTATAACAAGTGATATTTAGGTACTTTTCCAATATCGGGGGAGCCTATCCCTTTCGCTCCCCCGATAATCGAACCGCTCCCCGATATTGGAAAGAAACGATATTTACAATATCTTCAAGGCCTTTCTTTAGTTTTTATACAAAACTTTCAACACCAGCGATTTATTTTCTTGTTGTTCCATGCAAAGACAGAAATTCTCAGGGATTTCCGCTTCTTCACATCCACGAGTCGAATTGAGCATTTGAGAGAAAAGATTTACACCGTATTTAGCTAAAAATCATATAATTTGGATGGGAAATAATATATAAAAGAATAGTTGCGCTCAAATTGTTGCCTTCCAAGTGCTACATTGATTTTGCCAATCTTTTTTGAAGAATTTGTATCGGATTCTAACAATGTGATAATACTGATCGGTCTATTCCCAGATTTACTAGTTTATTAGGTATGAATAATATTAGATCTTTCATCAATTCTATTACTACATTTGTAGTAAACCCACGTAGCTCAAGATCTTCCCGCCCGGAGGTGCCAAGTGTCGCAAAAAGTTTTGTGGAGATCGAAATTGGTGACAAGGCTGGAGGGTTGTCGATTTAATTTTTAGAAATCTCACCAACCGATTGGCATTTGTTCGCAATTTTGGTGCGCTTTCGCGTTTTTTTTTTCCACTCGTCGGGTAAACGAATCGAGAAAGGGGTGGATCGTTCTTCCACTCGACCCGTTGTCGTTCTCTAGAACGATTTTTGTTCCAGAATTTTATGCCAAAATTTCTATAATATTTAAAGAATACAGGCACAAATAGCCTAAAAGATATTGTAAAAAGAAAAGTCTTTTAAATTTTCGAAAAAATTGTAATTTTTGATAACTATCGAGTAAAGTCTCAAGTTTTCACTTGGCTATAGTGGACTTGTAAAAGTAATTGTAAATCAAATTAGTAATCAAATTAGAAATCTAAAGTTTATCCAATTTTTTTTGGCATACTTGTATCTGATGTATTCGATTCCCATGATCTCCCATGATTACAAAAGTCGTCGATTTCTCGATATCCTGCGCGAAGAGGCTTTCCAGTGCTCGTCTAGAGAGTAAGTTGATATCAATTAGCTTGAGAAATTGAAATTCATGTATTATATTGCATTTTATAGTTAGATATCTAATAGTTTTACTTCAGCTCCTGATCGATCGTCCCCAGCATCGACGGATCGTCGTGGGTGAGTGACGTGATGAAACTAGAATGTTTTACATGAACAATTTCAATTCTTAGAAAATAGATAAGTTTATATCCAATTATAGATATAATTAAAATAGATACTTCTAATCATTTCTTACTTAAACGAAAAATGACAAGCATCTTTGAAAGCTGACGAGAAATGGCGCGTGTAGGAGAGGTACTCAGCAGCAAGACTCTGGAAAGCAAGATTTTGATCCAATCTTTCAACTCTTAAAACTTTTAAAACTGTAGCTATCGTAAATACTCTAATAGAACGGCACCTCTATAATGACGGGGTATTGCCGCGTAGTCTAACTTTACACGTTCCGTTCTCCGCGCTGCTTTATGCTACAGTGTGCGCTTGAATGTCAAATGATAGCCCTTGAAATCCAGTATATTTGGTAGCAAAAGTGTAGTTGAGAAAATCTAGGGTCTGAGAAAAATTTCTTTTCTAAAAAGAAGTTAGACTACGCGACGGAACGGGTGCCGTTCAATTACAGTATTTACGGTAGGTCAAAATAGAGCTATCCGTATTTGTAATCCAATTATCGTATTTATTCTGTAGAAACTCATTCGCTTCTATTAGAGGATAATCCCTCTTCCACTCACGTCAGGAGAAAAGAGGTGCCCGAAAATTTAATTTTTAACTATGGTCATAAGTTTCGTGTCAAATAATAGAGTGCAGAATTCTCTTTCTTTTGACACCAAACTTATGGCCATAGATTAAAATTAAAATTTTCGTGCAACTTTTCCTCCCTGACGAAGTAAGGGGCTTATGGGGACCTCTAATAGAAGCGAATGAGCTTCATTAGAATAAATAAATACGGTAAGTAATTTAAAATAGAGTTATGCGTTGAATAATTTTTATTTCCTACCGTTCCATCATTGAGGCAAGTTTTCCCGGAGGAGATCCGATGTTTCGTGTTGAAAAGTGATGAGTTGGGCGAAGGTAGAAATCGGTGGGTGAAACGGGAAACCCTGAGAAAGCAATTTTCAAACAGTTTACGGTAGAGATTGAGGTACACACCAAAAAAAACAACACTACCGGATTTACTGTATTGCCTCTAATAGAAGCTGATCAAACCCCGCCCACTCATCTCAGAGACAAAAAGTTGCATACCAAATTAGGGGTTAAGTAAAATTTCTGAAACTTTGTCAGATTCTGCACATTCCATAGGCGCACCCTATAGAAATAAAAAAATTGGATTTGCTTTATTCATTGCTAAGAAAAGTCAAAAAGTTTTAAAAAAATTTACGCATTCATTTATTTTCAAAGTTTTAAAATTTTCTCAGCAATGAGTAAAGCAAATCAAATTTGTTTGCTTTCTCTATAGATACGCCTAATGGAATGTGCAAATTCTGATAAAGTTTCAGACACTTTATTTAAAACCCAATTCTGGTGCAACTTTTTTGGTCTCTGAGATGAGTGGGCGTATGATCAGCTCGATTAGAAGGCCCCCTTAAGCCCCGGCCCACTCACCTCAGGAGAAAAAGTTGCACAAAAAATTTTAATTTAATATGAATTTAACCTATTGCCATAAATTTGGTGTCAAAAGATTATATGCCGTGATGAGCAGGTACCCCACCCCATAATGACGGTGTGGGGTGTTGCGTAGTCTAGCTTTGAACGTGTTTTTCTCAACACTGGTTTATGCTACAATGCGCGCTTAGGTATCAAAAAATAGTCCTGAGTTTCAGCCCATTTTTTGATACTAAGGACTTTATTTTTTGAAAGTACGGACGCTTTGAAAAAATGAGAATACTAAAAAACTTTTGCGACTACGCGACTGTACAAGGGGTGGGGTACTATTATAGTATTTACGGTATTTATTTATATCAAATAATAGAGTGCAAAATTCTTTTTTTTGACACCAAATAGTCAGGTTAAAAATTAAAATGTTTTTTTTTGCAACTTTTCTCTCCTGACGTGAGTGGGCGGGGCCTAAGGGGACCTCTAATAGAAGCCCATGCGCTATTTGAGTCTATTAGAATTAGAATAAATACGCAGATTGTTTGAATTGTGTTAATCTTTGGCATCTGCTACCGTAAAAGTGTGATTCGGATAATGGAAAAGCCCCCGTCGAACATCAGCAATATCATCGTTCATCATTGTGACACAAGCCTCTTCCCTGAATCGGCTAATTTTTAAGGAATCTATGATTGAAAACCAACTTTTCATCAAATCCCACAGAAAGGTGACATTCTCGAGGTCGACAAAGGTGTCCCTCTGGATCGGGATTGTCCGGATCTGTGACAATTTTTGTTTACAAAACACTTTGTGATTGTTTTGTGACTTGAAAGTGTTTCACCATTGTGAAAATAGCAGCCATACTTGCAAGTTGCAGCCAAAGATAGGCTCAAACACTTAAAATCCTCTTTCACAAACCCATTTGAATCGGCCGGCCGGTCAATATTGGGAAAAGATTTACGGCCGAGTTGTTGTCGGCTATCTAAAAATTGATTCTGACTGAATGATACATTGTGTATTGTTGTGTAAAAGATACTGTAAAAGTGTAGTTTATGTTTAGATCTTGTAAACATTTCAGATCCAATTATCGTCAATGCCATATTAAAAACCGACTTTTTTAATTCGAATTTTTTAAAGCCATTCGGCATCGATCTCGGCCGTCCCTATCTATCCCGACGGTGCGCCAGATCGTGAGCGATTACGCCCGGCAGACAAAGAAAGCCTTCTCCGGTCAAAAGGATCGGCTTGTGTGTTTGATTTTGGCTTTGTTTTGCTTTGTTTTGCTTTCCAATTGTATTCAATTGGAACTGAATATCTTTATTTTTTATCTGTCTTTGTATATTATGTAGGGTAAATCTACCTTATTGTACATGTTCATTGTGACAAAGTCGTGCTCCCTGTAGTGAAATGCCAGCCCGGGTGCATGTCTTCGGAATTGATTCAACGAGGTCGATCTCAAGGACGAGGATAACGATCGATGGGTTTAGCTGAATATCTTTTATTATCAATCTTGGAATATGTTGAATAAAATCTAAAGGTTAACACGTTGACGACAATGGCGTTTTTGCACAAACAATCGCATGGGACAACGTTGTTTTTTTTTCGACAAAAAATGTCTACCTGACACCTAACATATATCTATTATGTTATAAAAAATTAAAATTTTAATAATCAACGGTTAAATCGACATTTTCCGGGACCAAGTCGAATATAGATACTTACCCTACTTGGGTCTATCCCAAAACAGCGCCGCCAAAACAGCGCCGACCAAACAGGCCGCCACCCAAAACAGCGCCAATGCAAAAACGCCCAAAACAGCGACGAGCAAAAAAATTATTTTTAGATTTTTGCTTTTGCTTTTTCTTTTGATGTTTTTAACTTTTCCTGTCCACTTTTGTGTTTTTTAGGGTAAAAAAGGCGGAGAATCCGATTTTTTTAAGCTTTACGCATAGAAACCTGCGATAGCGTTTATAAAATTGATTTTAACCAAAAATAACAATTTTTTTCCTTTTACGGCCTGTTTTTAACGTTTTCACTAACTTTTTATTTCTACTACGGATCACTTGAAAGCTCTAGCCGTTTATGTTCATCATCGCTAGTGTTATGATGTTTCAGAGTCTCTTGGACTATTAATTTGATGCTATTTTAATGTTTTTTATGCATCGTTTAATTGTTATCGTTTATTGTTGTTGGTCATGTTATTTTTAAATAAATTATCAAAATTAAAAGCTGCTAATAAAAAAAAATGAGTGTGCATTGTAAAAGAAAAAAACTTTGTTTTGCATCGGCGCTGTTTTGGGCGTTTTTCATTGGCGCTGTTTTGGGTACGGCGCTATTTTGGGTGGCGCTGTTTTGGTCGGCGTTGTTTTGGTCGGCGCTATTTTGGCGGCGCTGTTTTGGGATAGACCCCCCTACTTGCTTATTTAATATCCATCATCAGCAAACATAAATATGCACAAAAAAATCAAATTTTGGTACTGTCACCTGACATCAGGTGACAATGTCCCAGGCGAACGAATATGTGTCAGACAGCATCAGGTGACAATGTCGTCAGCGTGTTAAATAAGTTTTCAGCTAAGAACATGCCGAGTCCGCGTCACCAAACGGTAGAATGGAGCCGGTGGGTAACGATTTTGGTGGCTTTATCTAAATTAGCAAATTAGCAAAATCTTTAAAAAAAAGACTTCAGTTATTCAGTTACCTTGTCAAATAAGCCGGCAAAGTTGACGAAATTTCGCTCGTAAATGAGAGAGCCGTCTTTCAGCGGTTTCCCGTCAACGAAAGCGTACAACTAAAGGAAATAGTCTTTTATTTTGTGGATAAGCTACAGTAGGATAAAGATTTTTGTGGATAAGCTACAGGCTTTATAATAATTCGACTCTAACCGTTTCCATTGTAGCAACGCACGACGAACTGATCGTTTCCCCACGTAGTGCGCCTTTGTTGATAGGTACCTGGAAATTGTGATCAAGGTTGAAAAAGGAAACAAATTTTTAGCAAAGCCAATTGAAAGTCATTCTTTGTTGGCTTTGACTTTGACTTTTATCCTTAAATTAAAGTGATAAGGAAACTGTAATAGAAATCTATCCGAATACTGTGGTTTCTAAAACACATCAATTTTTGAAAATTACCGTAAACTTACCCATAGTTTTATCCAATCTATACCTGTGAAGATTCACAAAGATACCAAAATCACAGACAAGATTACGGGTAGTCTAGCTATGCCAATAAAAAAAACTCGAATCTATCTACACTTCTCTTTGTAAGCAGGATCCCTCTTTGTCCTCAGCAGGGTCCTCTTTGTAAACGAAAAGCGGATTATGTGGATTCGAAAGAGGATTACGGTAGTTTTCAAAAATAGACACGCTTTAGAAAGCTAGAGAACCTGAATTCAATATTTCATTCACCTCTTTTTCTTCTTCCATCTCGTACTTGGTGATCTCTGGCGTCAATCCACCGCTCAACGGTGCCACTGTGCATCTAAAAATACCAGTTTTTTTTCAGATATCTAACAATTTGAATATATCAGAATTTCTTACTAAATAAAGGTAGAATTTCTAAGGTCAATCTTTTGATTTAAAAATCTCTGAGAAAAATAGAAGTGTTCAAATCCTCGTTTTACCATTTACACCTATGACAATCAGACGGACAAATGAACCGATTCAATCAGACAGACAAATGAACCGATTCAATCAGACGGACAAATGAACCGATTCAATCAGACGGACAAATGAACCGATTCAATCAGACAGACAAATGAACCGATTCAATCAGACAGACAAATGAACCGGATCAATCAGACGGACAAATGAACCGATTCAATCAGACAGACAAATGAACCGGATCAATCAGACGGACAAATGAACCGATTCAATCAGACAGACAAATGAACCGGATCAATCAGACGGACAAAATGAACCGATTCAATCAGACAGACAAAATGAACCGTTTCAATCAGACAGACAAATGAACCGGATCAATCAGACGGACAAATGAACCGATTCAATCAGACAGACAAATGAACCGGATCAATCAGACGGACAAATGAACCGATTCAATCAGACAGACAAATGAACCGATTCAATCAGACGGACAAATGAAAAGTTCTAATTATGAATTGTTGAAAATCATACTTAAAACTTAAAACTTAAATGCTTAAGTACTTAAAATTTTTTTAATATTTAAAATACTTAAAAGCATATACCTCAAAGCCGGGACTTGCTGCCTCTCAAAGAGATCGGGAGATGTCGTGATGAGAAGATATCCATTATCCAATAATGAGGCCAATGAAGGCATTTCTGGGGTACAATGGAGTGTTCTGGAAAGGAAATAATCAATTAACCTCAAAAATTTTGCGTACTAATATTCCATACCTAAAATAGTTGACATAGGGCAAAATCTCGGGCTCGTGCGGATTTAAAATCGGCCATTTGCACGTGTTCAGTGATTGGTTCCAAAAGTTCACTGAAAAATTGATGCCACTAAGAAACGAAAGAATCGAGTGCACCAGAAAGTGTTTATTTTGACACACAAAGAGCAAGTCTATACCTGCATGATAGAGTTCCTCGTCATCGACACTCACAACGGGCTCGATTCTTGTCGAATCGAATTCTAAACTGTTAAAATAATGTAATTTTTTGGAATTCATCTAAAAAAACCGACCTAACTTCGGGATGTTTGCAGAATTGATAGATAAAAAATGAAAAAGAAGAATCGACGTCAAGAAGATGGAAAGCTGAAAGATTTTCGTTTAAAAAATGACCTTTGAAAGAAGTGATATTTTGATGAATATGTCATGTCCGGATTTAGATTCAATCTAAATTGGACGTCCGATTAGTTGTTATCGTGGACGTCCGATTTAGATTACAGTCTATATCGGACGTCCGATTTAGATTCAATCGAAAATCTTATATAGATTGAACAATAATACGTCTTATATACTGTTAACGCTAATAAAATTTGTTTCATAGTTGGGTTTTCTTTTCAGAAAAAGACAGTAACAGATCTTTGGAAAAATGCAGAAACTACAGAAAACGCTTAAGAACATATATTAAGCATGTTTATATTATTGTTCAATCTATATGAGATTTGGATTGAATCTAAATCGGACGTCCGATATAGACTGTAATCTAAATCGGACGTCCAGATAAGTTCAATCTAAATCGGACACAACATACATATGTCGTAGCGGATTATGAATTTCAGCCGATTATGAATGAGTGGGTCCGGACGCGTCCAACCATCAAGTATTTGGTATCATTCAACGCAGAATCATTGATAATTATGTTAAATTTTTTTTAAATTAGAAAGATTGGATGAAAAGAAAAAGATTATGAAGCTTCAAAAGTTTTCTCTTGGACAAACAGTTTTTTGCTCTAATTTTTTTTCTTTTTATCAAATCTTGCTAATTTAACCATAATTATCAATGATTCTGCGTTGAATGATACAAATACTTGATGGTTGGACGCCCTGTGACCCACTCGTTCATAATCGGCTGAAATTCATCGTCGCTACGGGGGTCCCGCCGATTTTGAATGAAACGTTGTAGCGCTGGCAATTTTTAAGCGCCTAAACTCCCAAATTTGGTACCAATCGACGCAGAATTGAATTCGCTACAAGATGATATAATATTGTCCTCATACATTAAAGGGTTGCTCTACTAGAAAGATTTGCCAAACAATTTCATTCATAATCGGCTACCACATATATAAAATATGCTATTGAAGTCTGGATTCAAATCTAATCAAGTCAAGAGTCAATTGTGAATCAGGGTTTACTCTACCGTTGGAAAGTTGAGTGGTAAGCGGGCCCGGAGAGGCGCCATAAGAGATGTTGTTTTCAAATCTTTTCATCGGAAAGAAAGAAGTAAAAAGAAAAAGAAGACTAATGAAATTATCGTTTGGGGTACAATTCGATGAACGAATTCGATGGATGAGCCGTTTGTTCAACGGGAAAGGGGAACTCAAAAAGAGAGGGAAGGAGGAGGAGTTCTGCCTGTTTCTCCCTCTTTCTCACTAAATTCGGTTCTTTTTGTCAAAACCTTGCCATAAACAGAGACTCTCCTCCTTTCTCGGGTATTATGGCAGGATAGAGGGATTTCTTTGTGAATTCTTGCGAAAGAAACAGGAACAGAAATCGACAGTCTGAGGGGAGATTTGGGCCATTTTCTGTAGTACATACCAGACAGTTTTTGGGGAGATGGAAAGAGAATCTGTCACTTTGTCCTTTTAGTACTTTTGCACCTTTATTCCAGACAAATTTGCATATAGGATTTGTTGAAGAATAAAGATGCAAAAAACCGTAATTTATAGTATGCTTTTGGGTTCAATTTAGTATGTGAGTACAGTTCAGGTCGATCAGAAAAATTTTGAAATTTTAACGCTTTAAATTTGCGATACTGAATTTGAAGGGAAATTTTCTTTAAAACTAATTTGTATTTAAAATCCATCGAAAATCCGATTCCTGATAAAGTTGTTGTAGAAAACGTTAAAAAGTTTTCAAAAAAAAAAAAAAGAAGAAACTCATATACCGTATTTGTTCTGATAGAAGCAATTTTGTGGAATGATTGAAAAAATAGAAGCGCAGCCTCCAATAAAAGCAACAATTATGGATATTCAGCTTAGTAGACAGAATACCTTAAATTTTGAGCCTTAAAGCATATATCAACGAATTTCCTTGAGGAAAATTCCTTCTTGGGAGTGGGACAAATGCGACCTTTTTTTGCGCACCGGACATTTGCGCCCCCTTTTTCCGCACCTTGCCCATTAGCGCACCTTTCTTCGCGTTTTAAAAAGCTCTAAAAGCCTAATATTAACCAATTTCTATTCCAATTGTTGTTTTTCTAGGTAATTTGAGGGTGTCGGAATCGAAATTTTGACATATCAGAGCTTGTGGAAACGAACGGACGGAGCTATACAAAGAGAAAAATCGACCATTTTCTGTAATTTGACCTACCCGTTTTGTCTTTCAAATTGATTCCACACGCTCTGTTATGTCAAAATTTCGATTCCACGCCCTAAAATTACCTAGAAAAACAACTTTTGGAATAGAAATTGGTTAATATTAGCTTTTTAGAGCTTTTTTAAAACGCGAAAAAAGGTGCGGGGAAAAAAGGTGCGCAAATGTCCGGGTGCGCAAAAAAGGTCGCACTTGTCCCACTCCCCCTTTCTTTATAATTTTTTGCAAAATTTTAGGTAGGCTAATTTCCGCAATTTTTTTTGCAACAGGGTCATTTGCGCAACTAGTCAGTTTAGCTATAACCTCCCCATAACTTTCTTCTAAGTGGATTAATCTTTATGATTTGGGTTTCATTTTGTTGCACTTGTTGAGAACTACAAAATTAAAACCAAAATCATAAAGATTGGTCCATTGGTTAGAAGAAAGTTATGGCGAGTTGCCCAAAAAAAAATTGTGGAAATTAGCCTACCCCAAAAGTAGTGGAAATTTTGATGCTTTTTTCGCAATTAGCCAACTTTTGGATCGAATTTATAACTTAAAATTTAGATAATCAGGTAATTAAATACCGTCGAGCTTAAGATAATTTATACCATAAAATTTCTCACAACTTTAAACATTTTGACATTTTAAATTTTAGTATCCAATCCTTTAGCAAAGAATCTTTTTGGTTATTGTTAATCCTTCCTTTAGATTTTTGCCTAAAAAATCATTGCTAAGGTTTATTATTGCTTAATCAGTGGCTTTTTCTTGGATTTTCTTGCGTTTTATAAAATGAATAACGTGTTTTTTTAGGGATGATGCCTAACCGGTTGTCGATCCGAACGGATTCACTTGAGAAGTATCAGAAGTCTTCGCGAACTCGCCGATCACATGGAAAATGAAGCTCCGGATAGCAATAAGAGCGATTTGGATGCTCTGGAGATATTCGAGAAGGGAAAAGCGAAAAGCTTAACGAACAATTTCAAGCTGGAGGCAATCGGGTGTGCAAAGAAGATTTCAAAGATCGATGCGAGCAAGAAGTAATTTGGAACCATCCTTTCAAGGCGAAAATCCGGACCTACTACGATGATTGGATGTTGCACGATGTTCAAGCTTACAAAGCTTACAGCACACAAAAGGAGGAAATGTGAAAGCTCCATTCATGGGCACCTACTTGCAGTGGATCACTGATGCTTGGGAAAGTTTGGACAAGGATCTCTTCGTCAAATCATTCAAAGTTTGCGGAATGCAATTGCTACTGATGGATCCGAAGTTGCGAAATTTCTCTGCTTCAAGCTAAATTCAGTGCTTTAATGCATTAATGTGTTTTATTTTAGGCATTCCCGAAGGTGCTCCTAAGTTTACTTCAAGCCAGAGATGATTGCCGAATTGTTTGATGAAGTCGATCTTGGTGAAGATGAAGAAAACAAGGACTAAAAGAGTGACATCTCGATTGAAGTCTTACGATTGAAGTCTCTAACGGTAATGAAATCGAGGATAGTTCTTTTTAACGATTGAAATGTTTTTAATTGGTTGTTATATTTAATAAATAAATTGGTAAAATAATAGCTTTAACTAAGCTTTAACATACTCTAGGTAGAAAGCTGGCAGCTCTAGGTAGAAAGCTTAGTACATCTCAAAGGATTGATAGTCTCAAAAATCTAATCTAATAAACTATTTTTCGATGCTGATTTCCCAAGAAACGTGCAAAAACACTCCGTTTTCATTCCCGGTAACCCTTTCCCATTTTTCTTCTCTTCAAAATGCTCTTTGGTGGTTAGAAATTTTGATGTACAAGGGTTCACTCATTCCCTTTTCTCGTGTACTTTCGATGTTTTTCTGTTTCTACCTTGTGCTTTAATGGTCAAGGTTGCTAAAAAGTGGCATGGGGAAGAAATGAGGTCATCGGTTGAACGAAAAACAATATTTGCTAGCTTTAACACAATACGACCCACAATACACAAAAACCACCCCATCCCCCCCCCCCAAAAAAAAAAAATGACCAACAATAGGGCTGTACTAATGACGATTATTTTTAGTGTCAACTCGTTTTTAAGGACTTTGTTATTGATTTCTCAGAAAGTTCTTGGTAATTTTGTACTAGTTTTAGTACAAAATGTACAAGTACTAGTACTAGTTTGTACAAAATGTACTAGTTTTCAAGAGGAGATTCAGGGCTATCGAATGACTATGATAGTTTAATTTATCTTTGAATTTACACAAAATTGTTAGTAAAACAGTAACGACCGTACGCTCAAAATGTCGAATGTGTTAATGGAACCGAATTTAACAAAGCGAAATTCTGAAAATGACAGAATTCCTGAAAAAACTAGACCCAAGATTACGGTAATTTTCAAAAG